AAACCAAAACCATCATGCCATGCTGCTGCCTTGTTGTCATTTACGTACATAGCGGATTGGAAAAAAGTGGGAAAGAAAAAAGAGAATAGGAAAAAATGAGTAATAGAATGCACAAGGAATAGCCTCGCCCGGGCACAAAAATCCAAAAATAAATACCAAAGTATGATGAGTGACACGCACACATTGACGCCAAATCGCCGGGCAATCGATTCCGGCCATTTGTCTGAAAATAGCCTTTTCTCTCACGACAAGAATCCCAAAAGTATAAAACTGACACAATTGACGATCCGTCACCACTCGCCCGAATCGCCCGCGCGCGTTCCATGATCCAAGACATTCGGCCTGGTGCCTACTCCTGAGTATGAGATGGTCCCATCTAGTCGCTATCGTGTCATGGCAGCGTCCTAGCGGCTTTCCACGCAGGCGCCTCTAGCGCTGGCCAAGCCACAATCGAACAATGAGCGATGGGACTAAACAGTGCAGTTGACCACCCAAAAAACCCGTAGATGTGACTGGTGGCTTGAATGATCATCGGCAACCAGTGATCCGAAACCAACACGTCGTCCCGAACGGCACCGTCTAACCCTCCCCCCACCCAGCAAGTCTAGACATGGCAGCATCACGCATCGTGACGATGCGAGGGCTGAGATTAGCTGCAGAGCGACCGTTCGGTGTCTGTGCTCATGGCTGGCTGCCTTGTCCTTCTCGTCGGCCATGTTGGATGCACCGTCAAGTGTCCCAAATGCGCATCGTCGGTGTTGGAGAGGCCACCGTCTCAGCTAGAGGATGGTGCAATGGGCCAGGCTGCAACAATGTACATGGAATGGAGATAGGCAAGTCCTGTCTTCCATAAAGACCGATCCTGGTATTGAGGTTGCCTGCCGGGTCGCTTTGCCCTTCATCCCCCTTGCCTTCCTGCGCATGCAGGCTGCAGGCTGCGCTGTGACGTCTGCTGCGGAGACATAGGGAGAAATGGGAAGACTGAGACGGAGCAGATGGAGAGAGAGTGCGTGTAAGGGGCCCTGTCTTCTTCCCCCCCCTCCTCCCCCCTCTCTTCTGCTTTTTTACCCTTCTCCTATTTGTCGGCAGGATACCCAGACCGACATGGGGTTTGGTCTGATGAGTGGGTAAAGTCTACGGGTATTAGAGCGGAAATATACATCGAGTTGACTGATAAGAGGATGGGACGGATAAGGGGACCGAGGTGCACCCAAGAGCCGAGACCGCATGCGTACGACAAGCAGGCTGGCAGGGCTCTGGGCGGAGGACGGCGGCATCGGACGCCTGCTTGGAGAGAAAACCCGTGGCGTGAAATAGAAGCAAGCTTGCCGTGTGGTCGTTTGCTTTTTTAAGTCGACTGATTGAGAAGTGGAAAGATGGCCCGGGGAGAGGGGGAGGTTGTGAATGCTGCCAACCCGCTTGACTGCGTTTGTTGCTTCATTATTAAGTGCGATGTGCTTCTCCCAAAACGCGTGGCGACTGAACCCGAGACGCTGGTCAACGTTTTGTGATTATGGTATGACCGCTAGGTGTAGATGCGGCTCTTTTCGGGGTGCAAGACGAGGTGCCGGGGAAGGATGCACACTGCTGGTGTGCAGATGCACCAACACATGTTGCCCCTCGCAGATTCGGCGCCCTGTGTGAGCCCCCAGGATAAGGCAGAGCGTCGCGAGCCTGCGCGCTGAGCTATGCGCAATGGGCAAGTTGCTCTCCCGAGTTCACAACCGCTTCTTAGCAGAGTCTGGAGCTTGGAAGTCACGCGCGGGCGTTGTCCCAGTAGCGCTTCCGTGCGGCCATGGCAGTCTTGTTGCCGGTGAAGCGGTGCTGGAAGTAGTTGAAGACGGCGAACTCGTCGCGGTTCAAAACGTACGACTCGGGCTGGGCAGCGACCTTGGCCCAGATCTGGCTGATGGCGCTCTCCAGGATGCTGCTGACAGTCGGATCCGAGGCACCGTCAGGGCTCTCTCTGGCAATCTCGAGGGCTTGCGCAACGCTGGAGGCGTCCTTGACCGAGGCTGCCGTCACCGACGAGGTGTTCCCGACATGGAGGTTGTGGCCCATACTGCTGGCGAGGGAGCTAAGGAAGGGCAGGTCGGTGATGGGGCGGCTCGGGGAAGACAGAGGTCTGTATGGGAGGTAGTGCGACTGGCTGTGGTGATCTCCCTGAGGTGTGATAGACAGCATCGTAGTGTAGTGGTGGAGGACGAGAGGTGACGTGTATATATAGAGAGAGGGAGAGGGCGAGTGTATGTATGTTGATCTTTGGCAGGAGGCTATAATGGCCAAGAAGTTGAGAAAGGCTGGGGAGAGTGAGAGATGATATATGTGATGGACTGCCCGATCTGGGCTAGGTGACGGGGGAGGGGCGCCGATATTTAATGAGTTGCCGGGGCCAGCAGCAATGAGGTAGGCACAAGAGAGCGAAGCCGTGGAATCTGGCAATGCTCCAATAAAGCGGCGCACAGTCGTTTGACGTTGTGCCTTGGCTCGCGGTGTCTGTTACAGGGTAGAGCTGGACCTGAGCTTTGCTGTGGGTTCGATGGGCGATACAATTGCACTGATCCGAATAGGGCAAATCCAAACCCCGGATTAGACGCTTCTCTCGTACACAGCATACTGTCCTTGCCGCGGCGGATGAAAGATCGGGTGAGCTGACCAGGACAGGTACGGGTGCGGATAGCCTGGCATTGGTCGTAAAAGTGTAATCGTCCGGACTAGGGATACGTATCTGGTTAGGGGGTATGGGATTGCGAGCTCTAACTCCGCGTGGGGTGTGAGGGTAAGAGGTATAGCGTGGGGAGTGTAGCGTGGGGAGTGTGGCGAGGGAAAAAGTGACAAGTGCAAAAGTGTGTGCGTGTGTGGAAGGTGTGTAAGAGGGTGTGTAAGAGGGTGTGTGAGAAGGTGTGAGATCAGAGACAAGAGAGTGTGCGGCACGGGAGGTGCGCGTGGGTTGTATATCTGTACATGTAAGTCATCAGTCAAGAAGTGAGTTCGGAAGGCTGTCAGTTCCAGCCCAGTCCAATTCAAGCTGCAGGCCAAAGCATCAGCAAAACGAGACGAGCAAACAGAAGGAGGGGTGTGTACATAGTAGGGTGTGGTGGAGGCGAGGGGGGTGGGGGGGGGGGTCACCCTTCGATGGACGACTCTCGACCTGGGACTCACAACAGGAGAGGTACTGCTACCTGCATCTCGTCACTGAGCGACTGGGGGGTTCCATTGCAAGCATCCAGCCGCGATGCAAAGTGTACAAGTATAGAGCGTGGCGGCTGTCATTGGGCTCGTAGCGAGTCTTAGCATCGCGAGCATACGCTGGGCAGGCAAGAAGCCGAGTACTTGTACATGATGAAGGTGGAAGGGGAACCGTAGATTACAAGGGTGGAAATGGAGACCGAGTAGCGTGGACGGACGAGAGATCCCAACTCACAAGGGGGTGGAAAGATGTGATGGTGGACGGATCATGAACATGGAGAAGGGGAGGCGTGTGGCAAGAGTGGAGATCTTGGAGGGCAAACTGAAGGGTGAAAGTCCAGGGGACGTAGGGGAGTGCACGTAAAGGAATCAGGGGGAGTGGGCGTGTTGTGACTATGGTAAGGAAGTGAAAGGTTAATCAACCTAGCAAGCGGCGGCGACGACGACGACAACGACGACCACAGCGACAACGCCATGGAGCAACGGTAGTTAAACCAATATTGACCGACGGTCGGGCGAGAACGACGAAGGAACTGAACTCTAACCGAGCTTGACATGACCGGCACAGGAATCGGTGTCTCCAGTCAAGTCACGGGCTACACCAGCTCGCACTCGATCCAAAGACATGCAGCCACCCGTCAGCCGTCAAAACCGTATTAACCGAGCCAGGACCGGCTGGTTTTTGGCGCAAGCTTACACATGGTGTAACCAACCGCAATGCCATGTGCCGCCCTGCGATGAAGCTGGAGCTGGAGATCAGAATGGAACAAGATAGGTGTGTGACTCCACATGGCCAAAAGTCTCTTTGACACCCAGCTAGAACGGAAGTTTTTCCCATTTTGATCCAGGCTGTTTGGGAATGTAATTACCTCTGTGTGTGTGTGTGTGTGTGCGTGTGTTGGTGTGTGTTTGTGTGTGTGCGTGCATGTACAACTCAGAATCCCCGTCAGTCATTCGTGACGAGTGTTAACTGGCGTAAAGACACATCGGGATGTGCATGCGATGCCCAATGGTTGAGACGGAAGGCAGGCGCAGACTAAGCCGTGTGGTGAGCTGCGAAGGCCCGGGGAGGGGGGGAGCAAGAGAGTGTGCGTACAACTGCGGCAAGTATGATGTAAGTGCTACCGTACGTGGGGTAATTTGTAAAAAAGTCAAAAAGGGAAGGGAAGAAGAAGGAGAAAAGGAAGAAAAAGGCCCACGTTCGGCTGGGCCCTGGGAAAAGTCGCGACGATGTATGTGGCTAACGGGGAGGAAACGGGTCAAGGTCGCGATGATCAGCGAACGAAAGAGTGGGTAGGACGGGCAGGTGTTTAAGGCGCAAAAATAACGGTTAATGAGGCCCGGTGAGGACGGTGGAGGTTGCAAGACACCGTTGTATCGAGTGATCGGTGAGATGATGGCTACCACGGTACGAAGGATGAAGGAAAGCAAGTTATTGATTGAAGCAGCAGCCAATTGGTCGATCAGGGCTGCGCAGTGGCTGCGAATTACATGCTATGATTTTGTCCCACTCTCACTCACAGGTACTCTGACTCTCGCAGAGAGGCCTGGGGCTATCAGACACAGCTCGGCTGCTCCGAGGTTGATACAGAGTATTGTGCCCGCGTGTAAGAGAGAGATTGTAGCGTGTGTGTATGTGCGTGACCGGTGTGAGAAATGAACAAATGATAGAGTGAATGACAAGCAGCATGTCAGAGGGGAGCCTCGGGGCCCCGTAGCCAACCACGACGAGGCTCAGGTTGATGCAGAGCAGAGTCACCAGCGGCCTTGGAATGGTCAGGGCAGGCAATGAGCGGGTCCGAGGGAAAATGTGACAATCTCGTCCCCACTCGCCTCAGCTCTCCTTAGTCAGGTTCGATGTGCCCGGCAGAGTTGCTGGTGTGTCAAAGAGCAGATGCAGTACGGATACCTAGGTAAGATGCGGTATCCGTAGTGTACGTACATACCTACCTACCTACCTACCTACCTACCTATATATTCGCACATAGTAATCAGTACGGTGTAGTATCCGAACGGGGGGGTTATGCACACGACAAGGCAACGGAACGTCCACCCGCACCCATAACCCTTCTCTTTCGTACTATGTACGCTAGTGGGCGCATGGATTTCGCAGCTTTTATGGCCTTGGGTCCTCATAGTGGGGGACAGGTCCACGGACGGTACGTACTTGTACTGTGGAGGAAGCCAGTTCCAACGAGTACCTAGTAGTAGTAGTAGTAGTAGCTGCCTAGGTAGGCAGGCAGGCATAGGTATCCGTACTGCTCTGTAAGCCGTATGATTTCATACCATTCTGACTACCGCCTGCCGCCTGCCTGCCGCCTGCGCTCCTCCCGGCTGAAATGATGGCTGGTCGGCTAATTACGACTCGTCTTGTGGCTTTGTTGTTACAACCTTATTCTGAGCCCCCGTCGATATCGCCAGTCCAATAATCACCGGAATAGGGAGACATTGGTGCCTACTTCGGCTGGTTTGCCTCAATAGCTCCATTTGTAAACCATCCATAGTAGTGCAAGGTCTCGGATGAGTGACATACCGGTAATGGGGACGGAGGGGGTTTTCCGGTCGTCGTCGATGAGCTTTGCTTCTGGGACCGAGACCGGGATCCAACACTCGGAGAAGGGAAACCATAACGCAGCTCTGCCAGTCAGTCATTCATGGAGCTTGCGAGCACACTAATTAGTCAATAACCAAAACCCATGCCATTACAATAACTCACACTTTACAACCCAAAGCGTGCGCCGCAGTGCGGAGTGGAAGGCGTGTGGTTGCCCAAAGGCTGAAGACAAGTTGAGCCACCGGGCGGCCGCCCTCCCCCCTCGCGCTTTGCTCGCGCTTTTCTCGCGTCTTCACCCCCTTGCAACGACGCCCCATCGTCCGTCCCATGGACCAGGGAGACACCTCCTGTGGCTTTCGACTCGGGAAACTCTTCTCTGCACTAGGTTGGGGCCGAGGTGTCACCGTGAGAGACGATGAAAGGGGGGGAGGCCAGATGGGCGAACAAGCTCAGTCATCAGTAAATTAAAATAAAGAGGCCAAGCAAACCAAACCCTAATAGGATGGTCGTCAGATGTCGTCTGACCTGACTTGGGTTTTGCCTCAGAATTCCTTTCTCAGAGTCCATGCATGCACTTCTGCACCAGGCATGACTACCTACGCATTTAATGTACGGTTGCATGTCTTCTGTTGGCACACCGTCGCATAACTACTTGCTACCCTGGTTTCCGCAACATACGTAAGTCCGTATATCGGGAGAGTCTAAAGTGCGGATCCTCTGACTGGGGAATAGGATCCATCGAGGAGGTCATCTCCTCGTGCCCTGCTCGGCAGCAAACGAACCAACAATGGGACGACAGGAACGCGCGCGCACACACACACACACACACACACACATACTCTCTCTCTCTCTCTCTCTCTATGTCTGCTATTGGCAGACAGAGGAGGTAGTGCGTAGTGTATCCCCGTGATGTCGGCCCTATATTGATTGATAATCTTATTTCAAAGGCCATCACCATCAGTCTCAGGATCCTAGGTCCTAGGTTGGGCGACTCCCCGATTCCCTGTCAACGCTCCGTATCCGTGTTGTGGCTGACAATTGACAGCCGACGAAGAACAAACCTGTCGGGATCGAACCCTTCCCCCTCCACGCCTTACCCATCTGTCCATATGTGGCAGTTGGCCGTACAAAATCTGCAGAGTATCAAGTGCCGTGCCCTGTACAAAGGAGAAAACATTTCGAAAGGAGAAAAGGATCTACCAACGACCCGTCCACCATCCCTGGCCTATGACACCATAAGGTATCGGCCGCCCACTGTTGGGGACCGTAGGCGCAACGCAGTCAGTCGCTTTGCCCTGATTGTCTGGTTGCCAGCCGGGAGTCGTTGTGCTTGCAGCGGTACGGCCACCTTGCGATACCATCCCGGTACATTAGTACCCAGGAGGAGGGTATGTCGGGGACGGAGTTGATGTCCGTTTTGGACCCCTCCATGTGCTACTACCTGGCTGTTACGTACTACGTAGGGAGTACGAATACGCTAGTAAGGTAGCCACAGGGGACCGACAATGCACTGGAACCAAAACCTCCCAGCTTCCAGTTCAATGGATCTGGAGGACAAGGATGCCCCCCTCCCCTCTTTTTTGTCAGTGCCCGTATGTGTGTGTGTGCATACTTGGTCTGTAGAGTAATGTGCTTCTTGCTAGTAGTGGGTGAATCAGAGAATGTATTTTAATTAGAGAAGTAAACTATAGAGTATAAATTAATGAAAAAATATGTAATAAGCTTCCTAACCAGTTTTATCAAGAACTTAGAGAGATTCAAGTGAGATTTTCTATAATATCTATATATATAATTAAACATTTGTAATCTACTACTTGTAGTTTAATAATAGTAATTTTAAATACTTCTAAAATATCATCACTGACTAGTATTGTCTGAGTAAGACTCAATTTCATAGTCAAGTATATTTTTTTCACGTAGAAATATAAGAAATATGAATATTATACTCTGAATACTTTAATTGCTCTTACTCCCTTTATTCTCTTTGCCAAGCTTTCTTAAGCCCGAGCAAACTTGCTCTTTAAGGAATTTTATTCCCTCTCCTCTCTTCGCTGTCCAACAGGCGGGGGAGGTGGGCTGTGGAGGGGCAGTAGGTAGCACCAATGTTGCTCGAGCTCAAGGGATGTGGAAATTTGCTGCCTGCATGGGACAACGAGGTGCCTTGTTTTATTGTAAACTCTATCTTTCGCACCTGCTGGGAGGGCAGCGAGCCGGCTTCCGACCCGGCATTGACGAGTCGCAGGAACTGGACTCCGGTTCCACGCAGTGGGGGGAGTGGCCCTACCATCCAACTTTCGACGGGCCGAGGTCCTTTCTCTCCCTTCCCGTTGCTGCCCACAGCGTCCTTCCTCGAGCTACTATGTACGGTTTGTCTTTGGATTTGTATGTGTGTGTGTGGAGGCAAACATCTTCGTCGCCTCTCATCACACGAGACTTTTCTTTCTTTCCATCTTCCTTTCTTCTGCCCGTCCACATGCCACCCGGGACCGCGACCTCCTACGCCTACGTGGCAACGGCCGGGATGGCCGTGTCGTTCGCGCTTCGTCTCCTCAAGAAGCTGTACCCACGTCCAAAGTGCAGCAGCCTAGGTGGGCAGGTTGGTTCTCTGCATAGAGAGTCAGACGAGACCCTGCCGTGATACAAACTCTCTTTTGATTGCGATTCTCTGCTCGTATACCGTCCACTCGGGAACGAGCCTCTGGTAGTCGTCCAGCCAGTTGCCAACACTACCGACTGACCCTCTCTGCCTTCGTGCTGCCGTGCGCCCCCGACTTTGCCAGCCGGTCGGTCTTTGACCGAGACTGGGCCCATAGCGATCATCCAACGCCCTCACACACCCCAGTCCAGGGCCGAGGCTGACCCATCATTGCGGTTTGTTATATGTGGCGTTACAGGCGAAAGCATACATCTCCAAGGATTCCGCCTGAGGACTCTTGGAGAGCTTGTCTATCTCCCTTTGCACACACACATATATATCATCATCATCATCATCATCATCATGCGGATACTCTATCGTACCTAGCCACCGCTTGTCCATTGCGTACCCGAGCAACTACTTGCACCGCACACTGCTCCCTGCACGTCAGGAAGGGGGGAGGGTTCGTGGCATTTGACGCCCGGAGCAATGGGATTTCTCGAATTCGTCACCCTCGGTTGGCATTTGCCCATGTCCCAAGGTCTCCCCTCGCGTGGACCCTGAAGGTTTTGTGACGGGCTACGTAATTCCTTTGCCATCGCGCGTATCAGGCGCAAGCGTGACTCTGGCATTTACGTAGCGACGGTCTCGCTCATAACCCGGACTTGTAAGATCGACAAAACTGTCGTAAATGACCGTTGGGGCCTCGGAGCGCCTCTCTAAATTAAAAGCCAACGTACCCAAACTAGGTAAGTACCTAGTGCAAGGTACGTAAACAACCGTCACACGCCCCCCCTCCACCCTGTAACGACTGTGGATCCTCACTCACTCTCACACTCCCCTTTCTCTCATCGTGTGTGTGTGATCGAGGGCGTGAGCTCGGCAGCGGAAAAGTAATCATTACGAACTCTTGGCTTTCCCCCACGAAACCTCGAAACCATTGCCACACTTGGTCGATATCTCCGTTCCTTAACCCAGGATAGCAACAAATGGTGCCACCGTACCTGAGCCGTTGTGCACTAGCCGGGTCAGCATGAGTGGTGTACGTACTCACTCTAGTACGTACCTCAGTCAGCCTGCCTACTATTACTAAACCCCCCTCCCCTTCCCTTCCCGGGCCGGCTCTCGATCTCTGATCTGGCCAACGTCTCGGGCCCCGCACCTGTGCCACAGGCCCTTCGGAAAACGCCCTGCATACGCGACACTGCACAAGGGTTGGGGAATTAGAAAGGCGATCGAGTGACGACACGCGAGTTCCAAGATGCCTGGGCAGTCGAGTCCCAGATTATGCCTACATAACTCAAGCGCGCCCCGGCGGAGGCTTCTGGCGTTGTCAGGCCCGGCCTCGCGGAACGGCGTCAAGAGACGGCTGGAGGAGGAGCCTTGATATCTCCGTTGACGATGCCGGTGGTGGATGACATGGTGATTCCTCTTCCCCCCCCCCCCCCCCCCCCCAAAGAGAAAACGGCCCCTGCGACGGCTGTCGACAGTAGATGAAATCCTCATTGGCTAAATGCCGGATTTAGCACCGGATTTACGGCAACAACAATGGCACAGGTAGGGGGGGGGGGGGGGGGGACAGCTGCGGTCGATATTGTCGCGTGAGACAGACTCGAAGAGGGAGCGGCGATCGCTCAGCACGGAGATATGTCCCAACTGGGAAACTGTTGGTCCACCGAAAGGCAAAACAACATCGTGGTTGCAATGAGACAGAGGCAATAATGATACCTGGCACATCCACCAGGGTTCTAAATCTTAGCGTACCAAAGTGAATTAACCCAGAAACTCACAAAAAGGCTGCTTGCTTTCCCTTGGAACTCAGAGGAAGGATACTTGTACAGATTTACTTGACCTCCAAGGCACGTCTCTAGACTGAGGTTATTAGAATGTCCAAGTACTCGCTCTTACTAGGTAGATAGGTGGCGGGAATATAGAGTGTGCCTATTTACACTGTATGTGTATCTAGGATTTGTGATATGCTAACTTTTAGAACCCTAGCGGAGTTGTACATGCGTCTGTTGTACGGATACGCATTCCTTGCTTCCTCCTACGGATCGACTGCCACCTCGTTCATAGTTTGTTTCTGAACAAGGTTTCCGGATAGGATGTGGATCAATCATGACCTATTCTGGACGGCCTGGCGGTTGTGGGCTAGCCTTTGCAACGTGCCTTGGAGCTCCGGATTTGCATACACCACTGCTATGTAGGTGCGGAACGGCACAGGCAAACTTGGGAGGAGGGGGAGGGGGAGGGGGGGGGCGGCGGAGCTTGGCGGAGGGTTCGGTTCGTCAGCCAACAAGGTACTGCTTCGATACGGTCATATAGAGGCATTTGTACACTACAACAACCCGGCTAATAAAGGCCGGTGTACTACCCGAACCGACGCTGGGTGGGCCGGCAGCATCATATGGCTGGGCCGGAGGGGTAGCAGTATCCGTAGACACCATGTACGGTAAGAATGTCCATACCTACACACAGCTTGATGATCTCAAGCCGAAGGGGGAAAGGGGGTGCGATGAAAAGTTCAGATCCCGAAGTTGCTGGGGTGTCCCCAGGCTCCAAGAGGGAAACAGAGTTCGGGTGCCAAACCCAGACCGGGATTCATGGCTTTCTCATGGTCGTCATTTTTGGAAACCCCTTCTCTCATGGGCTGCTGACAAACGACGAACGGCGAGGAAAAGGGAAAAGAAAGGGACAAGCTCCGGAGAGAAGTGTTTCTGCTCCGTACAAAATCGGGTTGAGGACAGGACTTTGACGGCCCACCCGTTCCCACATGTTCCCACCAGCTAGACATGGGTCCCCCCTCCCCTTTAGCGGCCCATTCTAGAAGACAGAGAACTTTAAATTATGGAGAATGACGGGGCCAGACTGGGTGATCATGCAGACGCCTGACAAGCCCGTCCACGGAGGAGCCAGCGGGGCGACACGGCAGATGCGAAGGATCCAGTTGGTGTCTCCCGTTTGAGGTAGAAGGTCGGGTCCCGGTCAGGCTCGCTGGCGGTGAACCGGAAACCGTATTTTCAGCAAGCTCCCCTCCAATAGATGAGCCTCGAAGTGGCGGCCCAGAAGATAGTTTTCTTTTTTTTTTTTTTTTTCTGGGGGGAATTTTTTTTTTTCCCCTTCTTTTTTCTTTCTTGCCCCCCCCACTTCAAGGGGCTCGCTTGCCCCGACTGTGGAGCGTTTGTTCTTTTCCATAAACTATAGGTACATAGTTTACACGCTCAACCTCGTAGACTTCGCCGTCGGCCGTAGTCTTCGCCGTCGGCCGTGTTCACGGCGCCTCCGGGAGGAAGTGGGGAGGGCGAAGGGCGAAGGGCGCAACGAGTCGCGGAGCGAAGAGGAAGCCACGGCATGGCATCGTTTCGCACTTTGGGCTTCAAGGGTGGCCGCCGCTACATGCGATTGTGGGCGGGTCAGCTGGTACGGGAAACACACCGGTGTCCCCCTGCCGATGCTTCGTCAACGCGTGGCCAAGCTCGTCAAGCATCGCATCCTGCTCTCTTATCGGCCATGTCCCGTCATCCACTCCAACCACCACTGCCGCCTTGCCGTGTTTGGTCTGGCCGCACCACTGTCATGCTGAGGCACGCCAGAGAGCTGCTTCGCCAACGTCCATGTGGCACCATTAGCCGGCCGGGAATCCCCTCGCCAGTATTGTTCAGCTTCGAATGTGACTCAACTCCGAACACGCTTCGGACGTCTGATGATACGATGCACTGACTTGGGGTCGCGCCAAGCCATCATAATCTCACCAACCATCCTGAATCAAGTATGGTTCTCGAAGTCTAATAGAACATTCCTTCTCTTCTTCTCTCGGCACAACTTCCTTTGCTACATGCGTTTGGGTGGCGGCGTGTCCTGCATCGTACGGCCTACACCAGCAGGCATCACCCTTCATCCGGACGGCTCTCACACCAAAGTATCCCTCTTCAGATTATTGACTTTTGTGGACATGACGTATGACGATGGGTGCCAGAGAAAAGGGTTTAGATAATCCCACACTCTCGGGAACCACGGCCCCATGACGGGCAGGCTTAGCCAAACTATGCAATGCGAAAATGCAAATCAGGCCACCCTCTTTACGCAGAATTCCGGTAACATTTGTACTGAAGCAAATTCTATCGGGCCAAGCCCAACTGTGTCATGTGCAGTCCAGCACAGAGTTTGACTGCCTCATGTAGTGCTCGATAGCGATGCAGATCTATGGGTGGTGGGAGTGTCTATAAGCGTCTATAAGCCGTCAATAGTAATGAAAACAAGAATACAGTATACAGGAACGATTTGTCGAAAAGTAAGGCGAGTGCGTCGTTCGTTGATAATACATGATTTAGCAGGAGCCAGGCATCCTAGGAACTTCCGACCCGTCAACCATGCGGTGGGGGCTGGGCACCGGCGCGCGGTTTATTTGCTGCGCCGCTTGCCGATCTGCCATCCCCATGATCTGAGCACCTTGACAACCTTTGGCGTTACCGCCGCGGTCAGAGGTACTCTGAGGAAGATGAAACTTTTGTGGATTGCGTAGGCCAACGCCAGCTGAGTTCCTAGGCCTGCGACAAAAGTCAGTTCGTGAACTGTATTGGTCTCGTGGCTGTTGGGAGGTCTCAAGTAGAGAGAGAGCTGCATGGACTTACTAGCTTCCGCCTTGTTGCGCCGCTCCGCCTCCTCCACTCCCCAACCTGCCATTTCGACGGCCTCACTGATATCATCGCTGCCCAGTTGTTTGGTTTCGGCATGGCTAAGCGCGGCCCTGGATTCGGACCACCAGTTCTGAACCGAATCAGGGATTATCTTCTTAACGTTGGAGACGACCCAATGCTCAAGTTGCCCTGCAGCGTATTTGTCAGTGTGAACTCACCGTGATCAGATGCTTGCATCGCTTACCGATTCGGTCTGTGCCGACTATCCTAACAAGCAGGAAGCAAAAAGGGAAGTCGAGAACGCTCAAAGCCAGATATACACCTACAGCCGACCAGCCGTACTCCCTCGAGAGTTTCTTCAACCTTTGGCTTAGCGAAAGCGATTCCTGTGCACCGCCATCTTTGACATTCCTCTGTCGGGCCGAGAATCGGAAGGTTCGATGCGGCGAGCGAAGCATAGTTCCCAGACGAGATGTTATCCAGCTCGACCGGTACTTTTGGAACCATCGAGACGCCGACTGCGCTGAGGTAGCTCGTTGACTCAGTGATCGCTGGGTGGGCGTCACGAGGGACCTCCCCGGGGCACTAAGTTGATTCTTCCATGCTGCTTCCCAGGCGTTCTGCCTCGCTGCCGGTACCGCCCGCCGCGGGATAGCCGCCATCTGGAAAGCGGGTCGCATCATGTTGATTGCTCAGAAGGTCACGCCACCTACTTCCAAAGTCAAGTGTGTTATTTCCAAAGTGTGTGAATATATCAAGTCGGGTCGATGATGGATATGATCGAGGTAAGGTTTTTGATGGAAGCGCGGCGAAACCAATAGCCTTTCGTTGGGTGGTAAACCTCGGTGTTAGCAGGTTGCTGAGAGCTTGGAGACCGTATCGCCGAGAATTGCGCGAGGATGACGACAAAATGCGCGTCCGGCTCCAATGCGCCGCTCCAGCCGAAACTCCGTCGAACGCAAACACACCTAGTCCAAGGGCTCGCAGAAAGGCCTAGTCGCGTCGGCCAGTGCAGACGAAGCTTTGTGGCGCGCGCTGTGGCAGCTGGATTGCCTTTGCTGCTTTGATCCTTGGCTTGGCTTTCGAAGGGAAAAATCTGACGATAATGGAGCTCTTCCGATGAACTGCCCAGCTGTAATCGTGGGTACCTGGCAGAGGCGGCACGCTAGGCGGAGCATGCCGCGAGTGACTTGTTGATCGATCACGTGTCGACCCACGGAAAATGCTAGCACCGGTCTCCGACTCCGTCCCATCACCTGGTGCACGTCCTCACACTGCACAGGAAGGCAGAAACCTTACTCTCACTACCTGCCTACCTAGGCTAGGTACTGAGTAACTACCTCACTACAATCCGCCCACCAACTCAGTACCGCGTGGTGCAACACCGGTCAACTTTACCACAGCACACTAATTGTTCCGCACAGATGAGTCCGGCCTCCCTCGAAAGTCACCGACGGCCAAACGTAAATCATTCTTTAGAGTTGAGTATTTGCAATTCTAGTCTGCAAGTCTAGTTTGTAAATCCTGGCGCTGTCGCCGCGCTTTGTTGTCTTCTCACTCGTTTGTATCGAAGCGCGAAAGTCTCACATTAGGATTCTTCAGGCCTGGCTGATTAATCCCAAAGTATCTGAGGGCAGTTGTGGTCCATCAAAGGGGAAGGTTCACGCTCGCGTAGGTATTTACCCTTGAGATCTCTCCGGTGCCCACCCCGCTATCTACTCCGGATTGAGGGCTGTGATGAAATAGCCCGGGTGGTGTGGACAGGGGCTCCCATATTGCAAGCTTCCTAATGGCTCAAGCCTCTATGACGCCTTTGAGTATCAATAAGTTGGTTGCGCCGCCATCCGTCCGAAGCTTCTCGGAAACCATTAACTCTCCTGTGATAAAGTAACTACTGCATACCATCAATTTTACCTCGAAAATAGCAGTAATACTGTGTTTTATGATCTCATTCACGGTTGAAGGTGACAGATACTTTGGCATACAAGCTTCGGACAGCCACGCATAAACCATGTGCAAACTCCGTGATCAAGTGCTGCCAACTTTCAGGTTTCGCACCAAACTCTGAAGCAAGATCTGCGGGATTCTCTGGCAAACAACAGGACCAGAAGGAATCCATGGAAAATTGGAAAACATATATTCATGCCGTGGTACATTCATGGGTAAATGGGCCAAGCCTCATTGGCGTTACCAATCCCGCACCGGCATAACTATGCGGCTTGGATATTAACAGGCGTCTTGTGTTCAAGTGCAACCCAGCCGCAGCCCAGCTGCAGCCATGATGCGATTCCACTACCCGACTGCGCTTCCGTCTTCGAAAGCCCTCAAGTCGCGGATAAGAAAGAAAAGAAAAAAAACGGACAGTCCAAGTTCCCAAAGCCGAGCATATTGGTTTTGGGAAGTGTCTTAATAGAGCTATAGCAAACTCTGATCTGGGTCAAAGCATCAAACATTCGTCGTTTGCGTTTCACTTCAGCCTTGTTGGCCGCTGTAAGTGGGCGAAACTCTGCAGCTGGCAGATGATCTCGGCGATCTCTCCGTCGAGGGTCGGTTAACTGGAGGGTATCAACAGCGCAAACCTTCTCAAGGACCCCTTCGTTCCCGGCCAGGGGACGGTGGTGCAGGGACCGGGAGGCAAAGAAAAAGGGATTTACGAGGACAAGGTTTGTGCTGCAAGTACGAGTGCTTGCTGCCAAGGATGCAAAACTCAAAAACTTACCATAACCCATCGGAGCTGAAAGGTTAAGATACTCTTCTACTACGTAGGGTCGTAGGTCTATATGTAATAGGATTGGGTGGTGTGCTAACGCCTGGCAATAGACCATTCTGGCAACTGCCAAAAGATACGCCAGTTCTGGCACTACGTGCCAGAGCTGCACCACACATGACCTTATAAGGCGCCCTATTGCCGACCCATCGGCGATATCCTTACCCTGTATTCCTCACAGGTTAGTTTCCCAGGCCTCTTTCGCGTTTTAAAGCATACTTACTAGACTATAGTGTATATATATATATATATATATATATATAATTAGTAAAATAGTAGATATTTTTCATAATATACAGTCTATAACTAACTATAGTAAAACTATTATAGTTCTAAGTTTTACTTTTTTATTAAAGAACAAAGATATTAAAAATTTAGGACTAAATTTAGTAATACTATTAGATATACTATATAACTAAATATCAAAGTATTACTAGTTTTATTGCTAGATATAATTATTAAAAAAAAAAGAGTTTTTTTTAACTAAGTAACAAGTTTAAGACCGTTTAAAAGAAAATACATTTATATATTCGCATATTAAAACATGCTTCTATTTTTTAACTTTGATTCTAATTCTAGCAAGAAATTAGTACTATATATACTATAAGGCCGTGCCTAAATGTTTTCTTAGCCCATCTAAAACATCCTCCAAACCGCGTTAGTACACGTTGGGTCCGGGTCGCGGTTTTGGCTCTGGACCTATGGGTCCCTGATGTAATACCACCCCGCTACGGATAGTTTGGTTGGCGCCAGCTCGGATCGGGTACCTAGACCCTAGTGATCGTATCTTCGGTGGGAGAGGGGTGAACGTAGATCTGGCTGATCAGCTGAAGGTGAAGGGTGTGCGTTTTACAAGAGCATGCGTCTACCATACACTCCTTGTGGGTGGCCCTAGGTGAGTGACTCGCAGATTGCTGAAAGCTGGCAACGGATGACACAGGCACAAATGCTGAATGGTTCGGATGGTTTGTATACGTGAAGTACGGATACCATCACCACTTCGGCGGATTTCGTACGTGCCTCGCGGCTACCGCGGGAATTGAATCCCTGATAGACTTTTTCTCGAACCTTTTCAAACCCTCTTTCGCGTCTACTATTATGTCCGAAAACCTCACCGGCGCCATCACCGAGGTCAGGAACTCTAAAATATCAGTCCTGACGAGCAATGCCCTGGCACCAGGTCGTCAAACCCCCATTCACGCACGCCTTGCGACTCATTTCCACAATGCATGCCTTACCTTTCCTTTCGTCCGTTCAATATGTGCAACATTCACTGGTTGATCCACCAAACTTGGCGGCGGGGATCGTGCATTGTATTCGATCCTATCTATGCGGTGTATCCGTACTTGCAGGAAATGTGCGCAACCTCCCCGCTGTTTTCGATCCGTGAGTCCACATGGCTACAATACAAGTTTGCCGGCCGGATCGTGGCTCCTACAAGACTGGAAGTGGCTGACGTTATGCCCCGCTTAGTGATGGTACCACGGCAATTCTTGACACAGGTAATGGAGCAGTGAGCGTCGTGCCTGAGTCAAGCATGTTGTACGTTGGCATGGGCTATATCCGTATACCTAACAGATTACTAACCTACCAGCTCAGCGTAACGGACCCGCCATTTATTACGCGTCAGACCTGTCGGTGGACTTCTCTCTGAATCAGCGGCTGGAAGAGGCCCCATTAGGTCATTACCGAAGCAGTACCGAGTACGCCCATTGCAAGGGGATACTGGCTGTTTGCCGGCGAGTCGTACGGCAGAGCACTCAGGTCTGACTCGGTTTGCAGGCCATCTCCCAATATGGCAAGCTTCTAGAAGCGTGGCATCATGTTTCATGCACGTATTGCTGACAAAGGCTGCCTTTCCTCTTTCGGGATTTAGCTCGTTGGCGAGTTACCCCAATTGTGATATGCTCCGAGACGAATATGGCACTTGTCGGGTTTTTGGTCCTTTTTTTCCGGGGCCCAAGACCGGACGGATTTGTTTCGTCCCATTCGGAGGTTCTGCTCAACAATGGCAATGGCGTCAAGAAGGCATCGTGAGACGCTTCTGGCAATGCCTACAGATACGATTTGCCAGTGGCTGGGTGTGGACCGGGCGGTAAGATTCCCGGGATCGACCCCCACAGTATATCTGTTCCGTGACATCGTGATGGAGAAGGTATGGGCGGCTGTTGCTCACCCGTGCTTCCACGTGTGTCAACAAAGTAGCCATATCCTGATTGACGTATGCAGGGTGGCAGGTAGGGACATGGTAGGTATTCGTAGCCATCTTGCAAGGACCACATGACACATTTCAAGAATGACATGTCCTTACATGACACCCCTCTGCGAACTCAAAATTGCGGTTCAGATATCGGACGTTGACCATGCCAGTACAGGTATGAGCCCTGCCCCGGTCACTCCATAAAACAAGCTTTCACCTTAATCAAATCAGTTGCCTGCCCGCGCAAGACTTGCCTCCACCTGTGTGCCAATCATTTATAGTGTACAGGTATATTGTCCGGTGTTATCAACCTGGGAAGCATGTTTACACCCCACACTGCTCCTGGACTTCCCGACCATGTGGCATTTCCGAGCAGCTCGGTGTAGATGACGATATTCTGTGTAACGTCACATCTGAGCGAACAGTTGCGATAAGACTGCCTCCCTAGTTGTACATGGGAGATGTGGCCTTTTCTCATGTTTCTTCCCTCATCCTTCGGCCGGTATCCCCTCCATCGGAGCATCCGCTACTAGAGGCGAGGCACCCATGGAAGCTTCGAACTTCCAGTTGGGATCCGTTGTCCAGAACTTGCCGGCCGGTACGTTAACTACTTCGTGAAAACCGGAGCCGGATTGCGTGCAGATGTCAAAAGTTAATATCAGGTGGTAGGTGTGTAGTCAAACACACGTTGCTCTTTGTGTGTGTGTGCGTATCAAACATCGTCATGTGTCACCCAGGATCAAAGCCCGCAAAGCGTGTTTTCAAACCCCGAAGAAAAGTTTAATAAAACATACCGCGATCCAGTTTCCCGTGCAATTTTTCCCCATTCGACGACTATTGTTAGTGACAATCCTAGTTCGCCTGGAAGCTTTCTGCGAATCCCATAATTTTGTCTTTAGCCAAGGGCAAAAATGGCATGGTTTCTTGTGGTTGGTCTTGGCACCTTGGCTGCATTGCTATCGAGAGAGTTTCAGTTACAGCAAACTGACTTCTACTGCGCCACGGTCAGAGTGAATCGCTGCCTTACGAGCTTTAATGTAACGCATATGAGGCCTCCGTTGTCTCTCAATCATCCTTGGGTAACGATGTCGCGGGCTTGATCAAAGCCCTGCTGAAGCCGTATACTTTTCAAAATTTCCTCTGATAGGTGTTTGATATCATCTCCGAAATTGATACAAGCCAGTCAGTCTACTGGAAACAGCTGTAACAATGCATTTCGCAGAGTCAGCACGAAATAATCTACAGTTGCTCAAACAGCACTTACCACACAGAGGTACCCATCGTCAACACAACTATTCATAGGCTTTCCGCTAAATAACGCATCAGCAGAAGAAGAGATCTGCCTCGAGGAAATAATCTGCGGTTAAGCAAATCACGGGACATCCATCCCAACCATCGAGTGTAACAATCAGCACATCCCACTGTTGATTCGCCCAAGCGTCCTGGCTTGCAAGAGGTCTTTCAAACAGGAACATGGGAAAAGTCACACCAGAAACAGTAGAAGCAAGAAACAGCAACATCAGTGGCACCATACCATGACGAGCTATCTGCCACTGTTGCAAGAGGTTCGTCACAGAGGGGTTTGGCGGCTCGGAAACTTGATGGATGGGCTTCGAGAACACCGGATAGCGTGCTGTAGAAGCTTTTTCGTCGGATACATTATACAGGGCATCTGGCGAAGCATCAGAACTGAGTCGGCAGCAAACGATGTCCCTGCCGCTTGTGGTGTCTGCTTAGAGCTTACATCACGGTTCTTCTGAGGACAAGAACGGATTGACATAACCCAGGAAGGTCTGTCGAAAACTTACAGGGGCCACCCAGAGTACGAAAGTTGGTTAGATTTCATGGAATCGATAAGCCGTGGCCCATCCAACCCTCCAATTGATGCAACAACTGCAGCATCCACGACTTAAAGTCGGATACAACCACACACGTCCAGATGAATATATCCGTACACCGTACCCACTCGGAAATGGTGAGTTGTGACTCAGAATACCTTCTTGCAAGTAATTGCAGTTTTCACATGACGCTATAACAGACCGTCATAGGATGTTGAACCGATGTAGTTAGTTCCGAGTGTCTCTGAAGACAACAATCTGCACTAGCGTAGTTGGACCCAGCAGCGTGATCACTTAAGGTTTCGTTCTTGGCGCGAGGTTAACCACAGGCTATTGTAAGCGCAGTCGCATCCTGTGTGGGGGGGGGGGGGGTGTCACGAGCAGATCTCTCGCGTATACGGCGTAATTGAGATAGCCTATAAGACGGCGCTTAATGTTATTACCCCATTGTCCACAGGACGTTGGAACCTTGTTTGCTAGACCCACCCAACCTCTGAGTTGGTTGAAGGTTGTATTCCTGTTGATCTTGCTTAGGCACATCTTGGTTCTGGAGCCGACATTTCCTGTTACAAAATGCCTCGACTGCCGTGAAGGCGTCTTCTTATCTGCTGGGGGTTAACGCAACCTTTGAGGACGTCATTACAACGCAATATATTGTAGACTCAGAAGCATGATTCGGAGCAAACTTTGACGTCGCAATCACAGCTTTCAGCCATAATCTTATTACCAACCTACCTTTTTGGGTCCGCGGGTATGCTTGGCCGCCCATAACATTGTGTTTTCGAAGCAAGGTGTTCTGTCTCAGGAGAATCGGGCACATAAAACATGTTCGGCAATCCTAAAAGCATGTTTTCTTTTGTGGCGGGTACGCCGAATAACCTGCGACGGGATGAGTACGTGACTGACGCTAGGGACGATAAGTCATTGTTGACATGTCATACGTTCGATGAAAATGACAGGGCAAAATTGTATCCTTGGGATCGATAAAGGCTGGTTAGTTCTCGATGTCTAATTGTCGTTCGGAGTGTCCCGATATCATGGGGCAGAGTCTACAAAGAAAGGCCAGTCCAGGCTTGAGTTGATATCGTACTATGATCCATTCCCCTTGAGGGCCAGGTTCTGCAGTCACGAAGACAGAAAGTACGCTGTCCACATCCTAAGCAAGGTGCCAGGAAACTGTAATGCAAACACAAGGCTTTATCATTGACAAGGGGCGATGGCTGGATATTATTTCACCCAAGGCATGTGAATATAACACGTAGATGGCCACATACATACTGATCTGAGCTCGGAGAAATAGGATATCGTAAGGCCCGAATCCCATATTAGCAACTGAGCTGTCCGACAAGAAAGAAACCTGCAGGAACCCCAATAAGTTTAGTATTAGCATAGCAACGACTCTGGTGTCAGAACTTTGAGCTGCCAAACGAGCTCTGACGAATCGGGGTGCAAACCCCCAGGAATTTCACCCCAGTAAAGCCAATACCCAAATCCCGAAGTTCAATCATGTATTTGAGGTACCGACTAACTCTTGAATAACGGGAATAGCTTTTCATGGGTCCTTTCAACGCGCCTGGCATTCTTCTCTTTGGTGTCGATCCGCGATGCCCATTATCAGATGTAGCTAGCTATGTAAACCAACTCGAACAATGTGCCAATTGTTTCGTTATACGACTGGTTTTAGAAACAGCTATCCGCTTGGACGAGACATTTTCGTCTCTTTGCGACCCGGTACTGCCCCTACAACTCTCATATGATTTCTATTTAGGGAGAGGGGGCAGCCTCTGAGACCCTAAGGACTAGCTAGCTTTACGAGACATCGGTGAGAGAACGTGCCCGACAAAAGAGTAGTGAGAATCCCTTTGCAGCGAACAGATGACTGCAAATGACTAGGAAACCTGAATGGATCTGCCTCTTAAACAGCAGGGGATGTTCTGCATGTCCCTCGAGGCATGCTAATCGGGGTTTGGCCCAAACCTATCTTACGGGGAGTGTAACGTGATGTAGTTTTTGATTTTGACCGACTCTGACGTTCTAGTTGTTATATATGATGACTGATTCTTCCAGTTACCCGGCCTGTGTGCCTCCGAGATGAGCCATGGCGGTTGAGAAAAAAAACTCAGGTTGAGTCGATCCGCAAGGGGCCGGTGCAGTGGGTAGAACCGAAAAGTCTGGAGGTTGACCCCAAGCTTTAGAACTAATGATAAAGATAATTTCGAAAGTCGGCTTTGACGAACTTGAGGCACAAAGTCCTAGACAAGGTGCTGGCAAGACTATCAAGCCCAATATAGAGCGACAGGGTGAACTTGAATTCCTTGTGATTTGGTATCCATATATGCCAACGTTAAAACTTCTGCAAAGAGGTTGAGATCTTAAGCTTCATCATTGGTCTATGCAATAAGAGTGCTTCACGGAAGTGGCAGTCGAAGAAATCTAGGCATGTCAGCAATGGTTTGATCCAAGTTCAGGCGAGAAGAAGAATACAACTGAGAGCGCAATTGCACAAACAATGAACTAGCAATGAGAAAACAAACATTCTAGCCTGATTCCACATGCTTCGCAGTTCCCTGGTAGCCATCTCGGGGCTTGTAGATGAACGTGGCTGCAATAGAGGCTGGGCAGATCGCAAGACGGCGTCGAGGAGTGCCGCTGTGAGACGGTGAAGCAGGCAGTGGCGACAGTGAAACAGAATAGCAAGAATAAAGCACAAGAGGAGAGACAAGCAAATATAAGCCAAGTTATCGGTGATTATTCATGGCTGTTCTCCCCTGGCAGGATATTGACGTGTGGAACGGCTGTTTACTTGATGAACACTTATCATCTCGCACAACGGTAGCCATGGACCATGGATCTCCCAATGACTTGTGGCAGCATGTTGCCATGCTTCGTCCGGGATCTATAGCTTCGTTGTTACATAGAACTGACTTGTTTTAGTGTATGTAGATTATTACATGGCGTACAAAGTCAGAAGCGTTCATCGTATACCGTAATACCTCTGAGATGTCTTCTATGTGGAGGCTAAAGGCGAACGTAAGCCTTTGTGTGACTCGTCTCGGAAGATGAACATAAGTGCAACTGGGAAATGATTCTATGTTTGGTAAATGTCTCGGACGGATCTTCTCAGCCCTTCGTACATATACCACTGCTGCTGCTCACTGACAAGTTGTGGCGTCTCAAAACAAGACACCGAGGCACTTCGACATGTTTGGAAACAGGGTCCTTAGCCGGAGCACCGCAAAGCATAAGTTCCCCAGTTAAACATAACCAACTCTTATATCCTGTGATGCTTGATATAGACTTGCTTCCCCTGTATGACATGTCAGTAGTATCATCTCACTATCACCTCCCAGATACATACGTACTTGAACATAGAGTAGTTTCATATGATCTGGACACAGTCCCACCTGGGATTCAGCCACCAGAGAAGGCATTTTCCCAACAAGCTCTCGTACGGCGGTTCATTGATCAGGAGGGTGCAAGCTTGGGTCGACCCTCTCACGACATTGTGAGATATAGTCACCTTACCAACGGCAATCGAACCTCGTGGCGAGCCAAAACCCGCAGGCGCTGGCTCGCTCGGACTTGTATAAAAACAGAACTGATGTTCCGTTCGTCCAGAGACACCGCTGTCTCTACCAGCAGAAGCAGCATTGCTAGTCAGTGCCTAGATAGACGCTCACGTACATGTCTACTGTTCAATGAAAGGAAGGGTCCCGCGACCCGGTATGGGGCTACTTTGCCGATTAAAACCAAACAAAGTAGCGTTGATTTTGTACCATGGCATGATTTTGGGGGTGTTGGGTATTCAAACCAGATCTCTGGCGAAAGAAGGAGCCGAAAAAAACAGCGTAAATCAACGCCGCGTTTGACAAGGGCGTCTACGTGCGTTGGCTTTGTGTACCGGATGGGTATTGAACTCGTCGAAAGAGGCCCATCAGTGTCTCAGGGGTAGATGTAACGGATACAAGCGGTTACTCTCAAAACTCGTAAACTGGGATGATTGCACTGCACATGACATATAGGAAAAGCTATGGACGAGACTGGAAAAAGAAAGAAGGGAGAGGTACGTAGAGGTAGATGAGTCCGGCAACAGGAGCCTGGTGGAGAAAGGTCTCACAACATGCAGGCTGGACCTCGTTAGAGAATCGTTTCGCCAAGCAGCCGTTGTAAGGGATATTGCGTGAGGCTCAATTGAATCCGACTCCAACTCGAGTTGCAAAGAGCTTCGCTGAGCTTCTGCAAAGGCAACTGAGGGTCTGGAGCCTTCGATGTCTTAGTTGAACGTTACCGCTGGACCAGATTGGGGGGTCGGTGACGCAGCATAGCATGGAGGAGCATGGAGCTCGGGCCCGCAGTTCAGAACTATTTCGGAAACACCGGCTTTTGATTGGTGGCTTGGCAGATTTGGTGGACCAGGACGTGGCTGATTGGTCGGGGCCTAGGGCAAGCCTTACCCGGCACCGCACCGCACAGCCTGCTGATGCGCCAGTGAGGTGCCGTGGTGCCCTGCCGCCGCAGCGAGCTGAGGCGAGGTGTGCTAGGTAGCTTTATATATGGATCCCGGCGTGGGGGAGACCGCTGGAAAAGCAACGTGCTATAGCGTCATTGGAACTTCATGAGGCCCGGGATTCTTGGAATTAAAGTGGTGAACAGATTTGTTGAGAATCCCTGAGTTTTCCATGTGACGACACGAGAAGCAGAAGAGGAGCCTGGCAAAATCTATTTGCCTTCACTTCAATCGACAATCGGGACAAGGAAGACAGACAGAACGTCTCGACTGCATCAAGACCCTCAACTTCCAGTCAGCCGCAGCAAAACCCAGGGTAGGTAGCTTTGTACCTTGCTTGAGCTGCTAACCCCCAACAGTGGTCGGTACTACCTCTCTTACCGCAAGTCTGAGACCGCATCGGCCACCATCCTGCTCGCCGCCCTTGTCTCTTCCCATACAATCCGGGGCCTCGTGACACCTAAGTCTTACACACATCAATTTTCCCCCCATTTCTCACCGATCCAACGACGCCGCCACGACCGCTACGCAGCCAGATCTTCTCTTCCGCCCCTTCTGCGTTTTTCGACCTCACTACAAAATCGTTACCGGCCAGACCAGTCGCTGCACCTATCCTGCCTATAACACCGAAATACACGTCCCAGCTGAAGTCAATTGGCTACCTGCCTACCTACGTCAGCATCCCGTGTTTGTAACCAAACAATCGCCAGAATAAATCTCGCCGACGCTGTTCGACCATGACATCCCCGACGAGCCAACGCCGTCGTCGCGGCTCCAGCGAAGACCACGGCGCCGGCGTTTTTGACGATGCTAAGACGTACTACACTTCGGAAGAGCGTCACATCAACCGCGCTGGCCCTCGAACCCGAACCTACTCCCAGGTATGGACGACGCTGTCGACCTCCCATCCCTGACTGCCCGTCATCTTCCATCTCGCCTTGAGCAAGGATGTGCTAACCCGACCACAGAACAGCCTGTTCCAGCAGTTCGAGCGCATGGGGCTTCGCGAACCCTTCCGACGAGGCAGTCACGGTTAGTCCTTTCCCGAGCTTGGCAATCCGTTCATCCCAAGCCTTATCTGCTAATTCCAAGTCCTCCAGACGAATCCACGATTCCTCACAACCGGAAGTTCCTCATCCAGGTGGACGAGACGCTCAAGAGCTTGCAGGCCCAGGAAGATACCGATGGAAACATGCAGATTACCATCGAGGACAATGGACCAAAGGTGCGTACTTGCTGGCTGCCTCCCTACCCCAAACGCTGGGATCGAAACTGACATGATTCTTTGCCCAGGTGTGGTCCTTGAGAACCGCCGCATCCGCAGGCCACAACCGTTTCGATGTCCGAGGCACATACATGCTCTCCAACTTGTTGCAAGAGCTGTCGTTGGCCAAGGAATACGGCCGCAAGCAGATCATCCTCGACGAGGGTCGTTTGAACGAGAACCCTGTCAACCGACTGTCGAGACTCATTCGCGACCACTTCTGGGAAGGTTTGACGAGAAGAATCGATGCTTCGAGTGTGGAGATCGCGGCCAGAGATCCCAAGGACTGGACCGACGATCCACGCCCTCGTATCTACGTTCCCGCCGGGGCCCCGGAGCAGCTCGAGTTCTACACTAAAGTCGCAAAGGACAGACCAGAGATTCGCTTGGACGTTCAGAAGCTCCCCGAGGTCATTACTCCCGAGCTGGTTCGCGACATGAATGCTAAGCCAGGTCTCCTCGCGGTTGAGATGGAGAAGGTCAAGGACCCTAAGACTGGCGAGGAAACACTGAGGGGCCTTCCTTTTGTTGTACCTGGAGGTCGTTTCAACGAACTTTATGGCTGGGACAGCTACATGGAGTCTTTGGGGCTCCTTGTCAACGACAAGGTCCATCTCGCCAAGTCCATGGTGCAGAACTTCTGCTTCTGCATTCGACACTATGGCAAGATTCTGAACGCTACCCGCTCTTATTACCTGTGCCGCTCCCAGCCCCCCTTTCTCACTGACATGGCCCTCCGTGTCTATGAAAAGATCAAGCATGAGCCTGACGCCAAGGAATTCCTCCGAACATCCATGCTCGCCGCCATCAAGGAGTATCATAGTGTCTGGGTCGCCGAGCCTCGTCTGGACCCTGTGACTGGTCTTTCGAGATACCGGCCCGAGGGATTGGGCGTCCCCCCTGAGACGGAGGCGGGTCACTTTGTCCACGTTCTCGAGCCTTACGCCGAGAAGCACGGCATCACCTGGCAGGAGTTTGTGCAAGCATACAATAGCGGGACGATTAAGGAGCCCGAGCTGGACGAGTACTTCCTGCATGACCGAGCCGTGCGCGAGTCGGGCCACGACACATCATACCGGCTGGAGAAGGTCTGCGCCAACCTGGCAACCATCGATTTGAACTCCCTCTTGTTCAAGTACGAGACCGACATTGCCCGCACTATTCGGAACGTGTTCAACGACAAGCTGGTCATCCCAGACGAGTTTGCCGTCGGGCCGCTCAAGGCCGGCGAAGTGGTGACGTCGGCCATCTGGGACCGTCGGGCGAAGCGCAGAAAGCTGGCCATTGACAAGTACCTGTGGAACGAGCAGCAAGGCATGTACTTCGACTACGACACCGTCAAGAAAGAGCAGTGCACATACGAAAGCTGCACGACCTTCTGGGCCTTGTGGGCCGGTGTGGCCTCGCCCAAGCAAGCGGCGACAATGGTACAGAAGGCGCTGCCCAAGTTCGAAGCTTTTGGCGGTCTCCTGTCGGGCACGGAAGAGTCCCGTGGTGTGGTCGGCCTGGAAAGGCCCAACCGTCAATGGGACTACCCCTATGGCTGGGCACCTCAGCAAATGCTCGCCTGGACCGGATTGGTGCGATACAGCTTCACCGATGAGGCTGAACGTCTAGCCTACAAGTGGCTGTTCATGATCACCAAGGCTTTTGTTGACTTCAACGGCGTCGTTGTCGAGAAGTACGACGTGACCCGCCCCATCGACCCTCACAGGGTCGACGCAGAGTACGGCAACCAGGGACTCGACTTCAAGGGCGTCGCCAAAGAAGGGTAAGTTCCCCGACGACGCGATGCACTGGGGCGGTCGGTGTGCTAACAGAGACCAGATTCGGATGGGTGAACGCCAGCTACGTCTACGGCCTGCAAATCGTCAATGCCCACATGCGGCGTGCTCTGGGTACGCTGACGCCGTACGAGACCTTTCACGATGCCATTGAGCAAAACAACGAGAAGCACCTGGCCGAGCTCTACTGAGTGCATATCCGGTGACGAGGTGGCAGCAGCGGTGCAAACAATACAATTGCCAAGTGTCGGAGTGTCGGGAATGAAATCTTTTGACATGAGAGGGGTTCGCTATTGTTTTGGTGGGTTGCCGCGGCATCTCGGACATCGGAGGTTGCGAAAGGAGTTGGCGAAGGACCTCGGTGACTTGTTGTGTAGGCATGGTAACTGGTGCTTGGTTGTGTGGAGGAACGGCCAGAAGGCTAGTAGGGTCTGGAAGAGATTGCCAGAAAAAGAGGTTAGAGCGGCTGCGAAGCCAGACCAGATATCCAATCCACCCAATGCGATTTAACCATGGAGAAGCGTAATCCGATGAGTTGGGGAAATGGGATGGATGGATGGAGAGGGGTGGCCCAGGTGGAATGGGTAAGCTACCAGCAGACAGAAGGCCGGCACGTGTCGACCGGACAAGTTCCGTGGAATGTCGAGGCTTGTCGAGTTTGATGGTGGTGGGTGACAGACAGCGCAAGGCATGTGACTGGCATGAGGACATCCAGAGCACGAGACGGTGGAGGGAATTCCGGAGGCCATGCATGTTCGCGCGTGGACGGCTGGATCCGGGCAGAACATACAGTGCGAGTGAGGGCCAAGGGCGCCGATCAGCTCTCGACTCAGGCACGAGGGGTCTTCTTCACATGCTTGACGACGGCTACCCCGCAAGGAATCTTTTTTGGGGGTTGGTTGGTTGGTTTGGGGCAAAGGCTCGCTCTCTCTAGTCATCACTCCACGTCCGGGGCCAATGAAATGAAATCCAGCTTGTTTTGCTTCGAAAGTTGAAAATGGAGGAGCGGCTTCGCTCTGCTTTTTTTCTATTGGTGAGGCCAAGCATGGCCGAGAACAACTACTCAGACTGGCCGAGTTGGCGGCGAGTTGCAGAATCTCGGGGTTCGGCAGACGTCAGAGTTGACTGCGTGCAGTTTACAGATTACCTACCTGTTAGGTATCTCCTCCCCATGGTCCGGGCTGCACAGCTACCGCTTGCCCCCAGACCCGCTTCCCTTCTCCAGCAGCAACAGGTACCGACGGCAGCGGGAGGGCCATGGTATGGCGGGGCACGGCGGGGGAGATGCAAGGAGCTTCGGCAACTCGGCCAATGACGGCAATGGGGAAAGCAAAGCTATGGTTTCGCCCCAATCCGTCTTCCCCTTTGAGCCGAATCCAGACACCACCAGCCCGGCCTCACGTCACCCCCTTCTCACCTCACTTGGCTTCGATTGACACATTGGGCAGGCACCTCACACCCAATGCATGGGCATTCCATTCCGTTCCGTTCCCCCATCCTACAAGATAGTGCCCCATGACCTTGGACGTGGACGGCCAAGGGACGAGACAGAAGTATACTGTACTTCTGTGCATCAAGTTACACTTTTCTCGGCATCCGAGGTTTGTTTTACACACGGTCCTGCTTCCCCAGTACAAGATTTGTCCATTTCCATCTACCTATCTATGCCTCGCAATGCTGGGGCAAATGAGCAACTGCGCCGAGTCACTCACACTGTCCAGCAGCTGGCCTGGGCCCGGGTCAGAGGTACTTGCCTCGAAACAGATGTAAGACGATTGGTTCAGGAACGCCTTTTGGCCGAAGACAACCGATGGCCGTCGTGCCTAGCTAGTGCTTGCTGCTACTTCTTTATTGTTATGTCTGCCTGTGCTGCTCCTTCTTATTTTGCTTGTGACTCTCTCGAAATTGACTTTTTACTCTTCTTCCTTCCCCTAGAAACCCCATCTCCTCCTTGCACTCACCCTGTCTGTCACCAATCGAGCTGTGAATAACATCAGTAGTCTGCTTCTACACTTCTTGCTCCTGGCCTGCCAAGCACACAAGTATTCCCTCGCATCTTCAGTTGCTATATCCAGTCTCGAAGCACACCCTCCCCCGAGCAAAGCTCCCTCCTCTCCTCTCCTCACCTCACATCACCTCGGAACAGCAGCTTCTTTTCGCCAGTCTGCCCCACGACATCGCCCATCATGGCTGCCAACAACATGGTCAACCCCGCCGTGGACCCCAACATCGAAGATGACCTCTTCCAGAAGGAGGTTGAGCAAGTCAAGCAGTGGTGGAGCGAGCCGCGATGGAGACACACCAAGCGGCCATTCACTGCTGAGCAGATCGTTTCCAAAAGAGGTCACCTGAAGATTGAATACCCGAGTAACGCGCAGTCCAAGAAGCTTTACGATATCCTCGAGAAGCGCTTCAAGAACAAGGACGCCAGCTACACCTACGGGTGTCTGGAGCCCACCATGGTCACCCAGATGGCCAAGTACCTCGACACCGTCTACGTCTCCGGCTGGCAATCGTCATCAACAGCCTCCGCCTCGGACGAGCCCGGCCCGGATCTGGCAGACTACCCCTACGTGAGTTTCCAGTGCTCTTCCGGTGCTCAACCTGTTGCTGACCCGCCTTATAGACCACTGTCCCCAACAAAGTCGCCCACCTTTTCATGGCCCAGCTGTTCCACGACCGGAAACAGCGGCAAGAGCGCCTGAGCGTCCCGAAGGAGGCTCGGGCCAAGCTCGCCAACGTCGACTACCTCAGGCCCATCATTGCCGATGCCGACACCGGCCACGGCGGCCTGACTGCCGTCATGAAGCTGACCAAGCTCTTCATCGAGAAGGGCGCTGCCGGCATACACATTGAGGACCAGGCCCCCGGCACCAAGAAGTGCGGTCACATGGCCGGCAAGGTCCTCGTCCCGATCCAGGAGCATATCAACCGCCTCGTCGCCATCCGCGCCCAGGCCGACATCATGGGCTCCAACCTCGTTGCCGTCGCCCGTACAGACGCCGAGGCCGCCACCCTCCTCAGCACCAACATTGACCCACGTGACCACGCCTTCATCCTCGGCTCCACGAATCCCGGTCTCCGGCCCTTGAACGACCTCATGATCGCTGCTGAGATGGCCGGCAAGAACGGCGAGCAGCTTCAGGCCATCGAGGACGACTGGCTCAAGCAGGCCAACCTGAAGCGCTTTGATGACGCCGTCGTCGACGCCATCAAGGTTAGCCCCCAGCCCAACAAGGATGGGCTGGTTCAGAAGTACCTTTCGGCTGCCAAGGGCAAGAGCAACACCGAGGCTCGCGCGATTGCGAAGGGCATCCTCGGTGCCGACGTCCACTTCGACTGGGACTCCCCGCGCACGCGTGAGGGTTACTACCGTCTTCAGGGCGGTTGCGATTGCGCCATCAACCGCGCCATCGCCTACGCGCCTTACTGCGACGCCATCTGGATGGAGAGCAAGCTCCCCGACTACAAGCAGGCGCAGGAGTTTGCCAAAGGTGTCCACGCCGTTTGGCCTGAGCAAAAGTAAGTCGCCATGGAAGACCCACGCCCAAAAATTGAAGAATAAAATAAAACAACTTTTCCCCTCCCCCCGACCAATGACAACCAAGGCTAACTCATGACCCATTAAGGCTCGCTTACAATCTCTCGCCCTCCTTCAACTGGAAGACGGCGATGCCTCGCGCGGAGCAGGAGACGTACATCCGCCGCCTCGCGTCGCTCGGGTACTGCTGGCAGTTCATCACCCTCGCAGGTCTGCATACGACGGCACTCATCAGCGACAAGTTCGCCAAGGCGTACAGCCAACAGGGCATGCGGGCGTACGGCGAGCTCGTGCAAGAGCCCGAGATGGACTCTGGCGTCGACGTCGTCAAGCACCAGAAATGGAGCGGCGCAACATACGTCGACGAGCTGCAAAAAATGGTCACAGGCGGCATCAGCAGTACCGCTGCCATGGGCAAGGGCGTAACGGAGGACCAGTTTCACTAAAGGCGAGTGACATGAAAGGAGAGGCACCAATCTATCAGTTGCGTGACTGTGATAAGACTGTGTGTGTATATTGGAAATGTATCTAGGTGTTGTGGAATATAGTCGGTAGCACGTCAATGGATTGCCATCTGTTTTGCCTGTTCGCCTCCCCGCGGGAAACTCGCGAACATCTGCCGCCCGGCACCGACCGAACAGAAGCCGATCAGACTCACTCCGTGGTCATTGTCCTGGAGCAGTCCCGAAGTTGTGTCCCCACAAACATCCGACGCCAGAGGACCGAAGGACCGGAATACAGGAAGGAGCGAAGAGAAATTTGTAAGGGCCCGCAATGACGCCCCACGGTTATATTCTTACTCGATGCGAGACTATCAAAATTCGCGATGGCAACACGCGACGGAGTGAGTCAGCACCGCTCCTTGACAAAAGAAAAGTGGACACGACGACCGGCATCCTCAACCGAAACTCCGTGGACATCGACGTATTGATGGGCTATAATATGCCCGATTCTCCACGTTCAAAATCTGTTCCCCCAAGAGTCCCTTATTTCACTTATTGTTGCTCATCTAACATTACGCAACCAAGACATCTCAATCACTCACTCACTCTCTCCCTCTCTCTCCCTCTCTTCGCTCGTAATGGCATCCGCATCTTCTTCCGTCGTCATCGTCGGCGCCGGCGTCTTCGGTCTAAGCCTCGCCCTCGAACTCGCTGCCAACAGGGGATATACCTCGGTCACGGTCCTAGACCGCTTCTTGCCGCCCGTCCCGGACGGCAGCTCCGTCGACGTCTCGCGCATCATCCGCACAGAGTACGCCGACCCGCTCTACTCGTCCCTGGCGACGGACGCTCTGCAGGGGTGGCGGACTTCGGAGGTGTACAAGCCGCACTACCACGAGTCCGGGTTCGTCATGATGGCCGACGAGAAGGAGCGCTCGAGCCCGTATTTTGAAAAGTATCGCCGGTGGCGGGGTGAGGCGGCGGAAGGGGGGAAGCCGCTGGAGTTCTTCGAGCCGCCCGACGCGGACGCCGAGGTGAAGAGGCTGTACAAGGGCGTGCAGGCGGACTTGCGGTCGTTTGCGGCCACGCACAACGCCGCGGGCGGGTGGGCGGACGCCGCGGGGGCGATCCGCGCTCTGGCCAGCGAGTGCACGCGCGCGGGGGTCTCGTTCGTGACGGGCGCCCAGGGGACTGTCGTGTCCCTGCAGCGACCCGGGACCCGCGTGACGGGCGTGCGGACGGCGGCGGGGACGACGTGGGAGGCGGAGAGAGTGGTGCTCGCGACGGGGGCGTGGACGAACCGGGTTGTCCCCGGTGTGGGTCACGCCGTTGCGGCGTCGGGGCAGCCGGTCGGGTTCATCCGGCTGTCGGACGAGGAGGCAGACCGAGTGCGGGAGATGCCGGTCATAGTAAACATGAGCACGGGCGTCTTCTGCTTCCCGCCGACGCCGGGGACGAACTTGCTCAAGGTCGCGAGGCACGGGTTCGGGTACGCGACCGAGTTCGAGGCCGAGGTGGGCAGGAAGGTGTCGAGCCCGAGGCTGGCTGGAAGCAACGCCGCGTCCGGGTTCCTGCCGCAGGACGCGGACGAGGGGCTGCGGGAGGGCGTGAGGCTGTTCTTCCCCGAGTTCGCGGAGCGGGAGTGGGCATACAGGCGGCTGTGCTGGTATACCGACACGCCCGAGGGTGATTTTGTCGTCGACTACCATCCCGACATCAAGGGTTTGTTCTTCGCGACCGGCGGTGCTGGGCAGTCAGTTATCCCCCCCCCCGCCCCCATTTTTTGTCAATGATTGGTTGAACTGCTGGTGAGAGTGCATAGGCTGACCTGTGATTACAGCGCGTTCAAGTTCCTCCCGGTCATCGGCTCGCACGTCGCGGATAGCTTCGAGCGCAAGGCGTCCACGCCGTTGCGGGAGAAGTGGAGGATGAGGAGGGCCGTTAACGGAGAGACGACCTTGAAGATGGCTGGGGACGGGAGCCGGGGCGGGCCGCCGCTGCGGAAGCTCTCGCCGCAGGAGCAGGCAAAGCTGTGAAGCGCCAGCTGGGGGTGGCCTCAGGTTCACAATGTGGCTGTCCGACGGTGCAGACGGCTCTCAAGGAATGACCCTTTTTTGAATTATTATTATTTTTTTTCAAAAAGAGAAAGAAAAGAAAAGAAAAAAGGCCATAACCCTCTCAACGGCAGACGCCAGCACTAGGAACATGATAAGATTGAGGTTTCCTGCTACCCTTCTCACTCCCGAACGACAGCTGCCGCGGTCTCCTGCCCTGGGGGTTTCCACTACAAGGCCTAGAAACGGTTGACAGGACTCCGTGCCTTTCGGGCGATGCAGCCGGTTCAATCAATATACCTCCCTGCCTCTGGAGGCAATTGGTTGTCTTGCGCGCGCGCAAACGCAGGCTAGCTTGGTCTGATTGCGCTCGCGTAGTTGGGGCACACCTCGCCGAGGGAACGATTCGTAAACGCCTTCAATTTGTGGTACCGCCATCTTGTCTCCAGCATTATTGATGCAAGGGTGAAGGTGTGATGTCCGCCTGGGTCTGGCAGGCCTGCGTATAATCTCGTTCGAAATGGCCACACAGGGACACAACCAGTCGACTTATGCAGCCTGAGATGTACCTGCACGGCAGGTGAGAGGGGGCTGGCTCTTGACGGGCATAAAAGGGCATAAAAACAAAATGAAACAAAAAGAAACTTCATGCGCAGAAAAAACAGGAATGGTTTGCCTGTTCCATGGTTGGCGCAATCACGGCGCCTCAGTAAATTGTAAGTGGGGACGAAGTTGCCGTCGGTTGTCTCTAATCAAGAAAAAAACAAAGAAGTCAGAAAACAGTTTATTATTGGCGTGGGTCGCCTCTACCATGGTTGATATTCCAAACGCTCATAATAGGAACCGAACAAACCCCCCCCCCCCCCCCCCCCCTGCAGATGATTATATGTGATCGCGCGAGATATGGAGACTTTAACATGGCAGGAGAAGAAGTATGTAGGTCACCCTACAGCCCAGTACTATACGGACCTATTCATTTGTTCCTTTTGTAACCCGTTCCAAGACAAGTTTGATTGCTTTACACAAGCCCGAGGTCCTTTTCCACCATACCTCGGCAGATGGGGTGGTAGAAGTCCCTGTTCTTCTCAAAGGTCTTGAGCGCGAGCTCGCGGTCGACCTTGTTCAGCGAACGGAACAAGGGCCTCACGAACTTCATGCGGCCAACGTGGCCCAGCAGTTCTGCGGCACCCGGGTACGCAGACTTGTCCTCCGCAGCAAGCGCAATCTTGTAGTACGCAGTCTTGAGCTCGGCGTTGCGCGACGAGACAAGGTCGTACGTGGTTCCCAGAAGACGCGCGCGGTCAGCGGACAGCGGGCTAGGGAACTTCTCGATGGTCTCGAGGAGGACCAGCTTCTGGTTTCCGGAGAAGGAGGCCACGTCCTCGGGGGACGGTTTGAAGCTATCGTCCTTCCAGCGCTCGGCGAGCTCGTAGCAGACATCCGCCAGGGTCGTGTCGAACTCGGGCTTGGGAGGGAGGCCGGGCTGGTAGAACCACTTGTCCCAGTCGACGGAGGCGACCTTGTTCTTGATCTCGTCGTCGCCGAGGCCGTTGAAGAAGTCAAGGAAGGTCTCCTTGAACTCGAACGAGTCAAGGGACTTGCGAGACCACTTGGTGAAGTAGTGGGGGATGAACTTGTCAAACGCATCGCGGCCAACGAGACGCTCGAGGTAGTACAGGAAGTGGAAGCCCTTCTCGTAGGGGACGGTGCTGAAGGCGTCGTCAGGGTCGATGCCCTTATGGTTGATAATGAGTTTGGTGAACTCCGAGTCCTTGCCAAAGAGAGCGACGGCGTCCTCTGTGTGTATGATTAGTACAGCGTTCTTGCAAGATGTTGTGAAGAAAGGAGAGAAGAGCTAGTGCACCAACATACCAAGGGCCTTCCAGCCAATAATGGAAGAGAAGTCGCGTTCCGCATCTCCGTGAACAGCCATACCGATACGGCGCTCAAGATACGTAGTCCATCCCTCGTTGAGCCAGCTGAGACGGCAATGTTAGCATCTTCTTCGTCACCAGGCATCTCACCGTCATCTCGCTTACAAGTGCTCCCAGCTGCAGCTGGTGACCAAGTTCCCGCTCCACGAGTGACTCAGCTCGTGCGCAATGACATCCACGTTCTGCTTATCGCCGCTGATGATGGTCGGCGTCGCAAACGTGTAGATGGGGTTCTCCATGCCTCCATAGGGGAAGCTCGGCGGCAGCACCAGTACGTTGTACTGGCCCCACCTGTACGGGAAGACGAGCTTCTCGGCCACCTCCATGAACTTTTCCATGTCGCCCTGCAGCTCCCACTGCGACCCCTTGAGCTCGTCAGGGCCCGTGGCAACGACGCTCCGAGGGCCGATGGGCGCCGTCGCGATGTCTCCGGACGCCAGCGCGAACAGGTACGACGGGATTGGCACCTTCTGCTCGAAGCGGTACACCGTGTCGTCGCCCTTCTTCTCGCTCTCGCCCTCGACGAGCACGCCGCTGGCCACAACGGGCAGCGGCGACGCGAGGACGAAGGTGTACGTCGACTTGACGTCCGGGGTGTCCTGGCAGGGGAACAGGGAGCGGGCGTGGATGGCCTGGCATTGCGAGAACATGTACGGGTGCTTTTTGTTGCCCGTCTGCGCGGGCGTGAGCCATTGCAGCGCGGTGCACTTGTCCGTGGTGGCCAGGTCGACATCGACTTTGACAACATCGCCCTTGGCAGCACCCTGGGGCACGAAGATGTGAAGCGGCGCGCCATAGGGCTCCACGCGGTCCTTGAGCTCCCAGGTGGAGGTGGCGGCGTTAACCTTGACGCTCGAGATGGAGAGGAAGCTAGAGTCGAGGATGATCTCCTTGCTTTGCTTGTCCGTCAGGGACTCGAGCTCGAGCGTGACGGAGCCCTTGAGCGACTTGTCCTTGAAGTCGATGGTGAAGTTGGCCGTCGTGTGCTTGGTCAGCCAGGCGCCGTAGTTGGAGAGGGTGTTGGGGTCCCGGTTTCCTGAAGTGTTCGCCATCTTTGCGGTGGTGCTGCCGAAGGCGGCTGCGCGGCTCTGGGGACCGAAGATGTGGGTGAAGCTTGTTCTGAGCGGAATCGAGCCCTTTGTCAGAAGAGATCGCCACATGTGAGACTGTTGACTTTGCGGAGCTCCAGTCTCCAAAACTTTGGTATCACGGAATTCTATCGTGATGTCGTTGGTAAGCACCTACCATATCTGGCTTAGAGGGGTAGCTTCAGCCACGCGAAGTTGGGGGACGCATATGGGTCAAGCCACATCGTACGCCACACATGCAGCCCCGTTTCCGGCCCGGTTTGGTTCCCTCCCATCCACGTTTGTTTCAGCAACAACCGGCAATCCTTTCCGGTGTCCAGCTCTCAGCCCCCAGCTTCCATCCCAAACATCCAAGGCCACCAAGAGTGAAGGCATTCGACTCCTTCATTCGGTCTGTGTGGTGTGCTGAAGCCTTGCTTGAGCATGCATCCCACGTAACATCGAGATGTCGCCCCCTCTGACCGAGATGCAAGCTGCACTTCGATGACGAACGATTGCTTCGACTTGCTCTGTAAAGTCTTGGGCACAGCAAACAGACTTCGGCCGATAAGCTCGCGGCGGCTTGGCACGTGGGATCTCCCTGTACGTGGTGATTCAAGTACAATACCGGTACCACAATCACCAACACACACCTGAACACACACCTGAACACCGGACTTGTAAGACGGGACGGCCAACATCTGAAACGGCGCTGGCTCTCTGAGATGGGATCTCCCTGCGTGGCGCGCAAGTCTAGCCCTGTGCAAGCCGTACATAGACACCTGCTGGGTATCCCAACTTCGCCCCTGCTCTCCCCCCCCCATCTCTGCATGTCTGTCTCGCATCCTTCGCATGTTACTGACATGCCACCCCCTTCTCTGTCGCAGGAGCACACCCGCCTGGGAAGGACATCTCGTAGCCCAAGGGACTCGAACACACATGGCCGCTCCGTCTTTTCAAGGGTAGGAAACCGGACGAAAAGTCTCCTTCCGCTGGTCCTGGTCTCGCGGCATGGGTCTGGACCTGGAGACGGCCCCGTGCCAAGTAGTTCGTTCGATGTCTCGCCTAGCCCTAGACCCGAAGGTTTCGAAGCCCTCATTGACGGAACCTACAGATAGGGGGGGGGGGGGAAGCGTCGTGATCATGATGATGCTGTTCTTGCAACAATGTTAGGCGTCCAGGTCGCAGCCCCTTGGAGATCGAGCGGCGGGAGAGCCATTCTCGATCCAGGTTTGTCATGATGCCCGCCACACACGCCGTCTCCTTTTCACCTCCTCTCCTGGACCCCTGCCTCTATCTCTCTCTGTATCTTTTTTTATCATTAAAAAAACCACCCTTCACCTTCTACAAGCATTCATAAGGAGCTTCGCACGATGCCCCCGCTCGCTCTCAGAATATCTGCCCCCAACCGGGGATTCACTCCTTCAACGAGGCGGCACGATAGGCAGGGGCTTGTCACCGTCGGGTTCCCAATGCTACTGTTCCTCGCGGTCACACCGGTGGCGTGGCACTGCGTGAGTAATGGAGCCGACCCTTCTAACGTACCCGAAGGTGTGGCCGGCCCCATGGCGGAATCCATCCAGCCAAAAAAGGGTTGGACACGCAGAGATGTGTGTCAGGGCCCGCATAGGTCCATGGGCAGGCAAGCAGGCGAGACTCGCACAAGGTTGCAATCTACGGCCTCGCAAAGAGAAATACATTTCGCGGGTGTACGCCAGATTTCGGCGAGACCAAATTACGGTGTCCGTATGATTCTCCTCAGCTTCAATGTCGCTTCTCGAGACTCACCGCCGGTGAACCCATCCCCATACCGGGTCGCATTCTCAGAAGGAAAGAGTCTGCCGAAATTGAGACTTAAGACGCCAGAAATATTGATTGTCTGGATCAGATGACGGCATGCCACGACGAGTTCGCATTTCGACCTCATCAATCCATCACCGATATTGCAACCAGCCAATAACGCAAGGCCCCCATCTCTCTCTCGGAGGGAGGCTTGTCTGGGCCTCCTTTACCCCACATTCTAACGGGGCCGCTGCTGTCAGGCGTGTCGCAGGAATCCACACTTTTCTGTTCTGGAAGCTCTGGCGTCCAACGGGAGGGCAAGCAGTATGCAACCTGATTGCCAGAGGCCCCGCCCGTTTTCCAATGGAAGAGAGGTGAGAGGGGCAAGTTGGAGATTGAAAAAGGGGCTGCTGCAACACCTATGCCCCCTATAGCGCATATGCCATGTTCCTTAAGATAAGATCCGAGCTATTGTGCTAGGGATTGCCGTCCAGTTGGTGACGCATTTGCCGATATTTGTTTTTACGACGTTCGTGCTGCCAGCCCGGCCCGGTCCCCGAGGGCCAGGGAAAGACGGACCCGAGCCAGGAGAAAGCTCTGCTCTCGCATCCATTATGAAACAGCCCGAAGGTGTGGCCACCCGCGTTTGGCGCACCTAGGCGTCGGGCTTTGCCTTCTATACGAACGGGGTGGGGGGGAGAACCTCGATGGTCGGCTACTGGGGCAATTCAGCTTTTTCTAATTGAATGGAACTCGGTTTCGCACAGGCAGGGGAGGGGAATGACAAGTAAACCCTCCCCCAGCAGCGGACTGCCTCTCCAAGCCTCGCTCAATTCACGCAACACGCAGCAGCGTAACGAGTCTGTCTGTGAGTGAGAGAAGCCCTGGGCCCTGGGCGGCGGAGTGCGCTAGATAGCATGCGTATAGCGGCTCCTCCTTCATCCCAAGCCGGAGGAACGCTAACGATTCAAGCTTAGCAGGGAGTGTCGCGGATCTGGGCCGGGCGCGCACCGCGTGGCTTCGCGTGGGTTGGCTCTTGCGCCGGTGATACTGCACCGGGGCGCGGCAATTGATCGTGCTAGTGCTCAGCGACCGCCAACGGCACAGCCCAGCGAGATGGGGGGGGGGGAGGGACAGAGGTATCTTTGGCGGCGGTAGTATACCTAGACCGATGCCTATGGGGACAAAGATCGGAATGAAGAAAGTGAGCAGAGAGAGAGAGGAGAAACTCAGTGTGGCTCTGGCGGTGCAGAGCAACGTCAGTGCCACGAGTGGAAGCGAAGAGGGTTGTGACGCTTATCGGTAAAGATAGCTGCCTGTATCCGTAGAGGCGGCCCAAGTTCGGACATTGCGTGCTTCTTGGCCGTGCACGCTGTGTACCGTCCCGCTGGATGACTGGCTAGCCGGGAGCCATATCGTGACACTGACGCGCTAGCTACGGTTAAAAGACATCTCGATATAACGAATCTAGTCTGTCTGTATGCGTGAAGAGGGACGGCTCCCCCGCCCGGCTCCCGGTCCGTACACTACCTACCGCCTCGTAGGTGGTGGGTATTACACATGTGCAACCTGGGTCGTAAACTATACAGAGTCACCATCTCCCTCTCCACTGCCCTCCGACACTTCTGCGACTGCAATAGATAAATAGATGGCTTGATCATGCAAGACCAAAACTTGCGGTGACTGGCTGGTCCTTGAGCCGACTGGTGTCTTTCTATCAGATCGTCCGTCGTAGTGTAGGTTAAATTAACCAAACGAGGGAAGGGGAAGAATGGAGTAAAGGGCGGAGAAGAAATAACAAGAACAAAAACAAAAAAAAGAATAAAAAGGCTTGGCACGAACCAGCCATGTGGCACTCGGCATTCGCCCGCTTGTACGCAGTAATCGTCGGAGAAAAAAGAAGGAGAAGAAGAGAAAGAGAGACAGTTGGACTTGTTACTGTGGAAGGATATGCTTGGCGGGGGAGGAGATTGGCTGTTGATCTCTTTCCAGTTATGCCCGTTGGTGTGCATCTCCCGAGACTAAGGTACAACATATACGGTGCACAATGCCAAAAATACACGACGATTAGGAAACTTCCGCAGCGCAGGCTTGTCGATCAGTCACAGACCACTCGCACCCATGCTGTCTCTCTCTTTTTCTCTCTCTCTCTCTATTTCTGTCTCTATTTCTGTCTCTCAGAGTCTTGCGCGCGGCGCGTCTGACAGCACCTGACAGCATCGACCCCGAGACCAGGGGAAACCCTCTTTCCTACAGAAAATGTCCCGAACTCGCGGGCTGGGAGACAATGGTTTTGTGAGCCTGACTGTTGCTTCAAGTTTGCGCTTAAATGCATGGCCCTAGTTGCCTCCCTCGTCCTTGTTACAACGACTCGACGGCCCATCGAGGCACATCACGTATACGGTATACCACACCACGGCAATGAGCTGTCGTAACTGTGTCCGGCTTCTGCACCCATGCCAATGTTCAATGGTCTGGGCCATGGCGGTCTGGCCTTTGGGAGGTGGCTGCAAAAGCAACATCGCAGCGCGCCGTGTGCCCATCACGCAGTATGCATGCAGTATCCGTATACGCGTATATACGATGTGTATGCCCTTGGCTACGCATGAGCCGTCACATTGCCCTGCGCTCGCCGCCTACCACGACTTCCGCTTCGGTCTCTCTCTCTCTCTCTCTGCTGCTTTTGATGAAAGGAGAATGGTATGTGTGGGTTTCTTGTGGCCGTTGGCGAATCGCAGGCGACCGGTGAAAATGCCACGCCCGCCTGGTCTGGATGAAACGGTGTTTCAACCCCGCACTTGAAGGGCGACGGGTGTGTACACGCGACCCGGCCTTGCCTTCTTTTTGGACGAAGGAAGGCGGACAGGACCGCCCGGCAGGGAGCCAGAGGATTGGCCTGCCCCCGTTTTGACAGGATGGTTCATGCAAAGGAGCTTTCTCGTCCAATGTCCGGCGCCAGCTTGACCTCGGGGAGCGCGCACAACCCGGGCTACTTCCCGGTAAAAAAGAGAAGAAGAAAAGAAAAGAAAAAGACATCCCCGAGTGCCTGTTGGGCTTTCTCGTCTCTCTGGAGCTTCGTGTGCTCGTCAACCAAGATGCCACATCGTCAGCCCCATAGTTGCGATTTCAATCGACTGGCAACCTGGTGGGTACGCAGCTCATTAGACCCCATTGGAAGCCATATCCGAGTCCGGAGGAGAACTCGGGAATGTCCAGCGGGATACCGCCATATCTCGTGGGTTGTCGGACAACGGGGTTTCGACCGAATTGTGCTACTGGCGCTAAACAGGGGTTTGCGACGAACTCGAGTCTGGTGCCTGTCATTATATGCATATATTATAGACCAAGACGGCAGGGATGTCGGAGCAATCGTAGTTTGTCTCAAAGTCAGATCCTTACCTAGTTCAGTTGAAAGGGACCTATGCCTGCTGCCGTATTCGTTCAGTAAACAACAAGTCGGACTGACACCCGTTGGGCCTGAGTCGGGTCCTCAGGGAGCGACGGCTGGTCACGACTTGGAACATCATCGCCACAACTCTCAACCCTCTTGCGACTCCTTGGCCCCTCCCCCAACACCCCCAAACTGCTACTCCCCGGTGTGACCGAAGCTCTTTGGAAGGCTTTGGTCCGGCATATCACGTTTCTCTATAGCGGACCTGGGGACCGGCAGAGAGGTCTCCCGAAGGGCGAGGGAGCGTCCGTCTGGCGATTCCAGCTCCACGGAATTTACTTTGTCACGGTACCCATATGCCGTGCGTGGAAGGGGATCCCGCCGGGCATTGGGAAAAGTGCGACTGCCGTGTCCTCTGTACCCGCATGGTGTTGGGAACACAACCGCCCAAGAGAGACGTAGGTCGCAATAGCCGATGCGATGCCCAGCCGTGTGTGCCTGGGTGTGCTGCAAGTACACCTATGAGCGCAATAGACGAGGAAACATACATTACGGCATTCTTGCCGGCCAATTGTCTTCTCTGGTAACGAGAGCACGGCCTATCCCGACGGGACACTGCAAAGTTTCCTGGGAGTCGACCATCAACCCTTTCACTCCTGCTAGCCATGGACAGGGACCCCGAAGAACCGGAGCTTCAGCCACCTGTCAGTCAACCGCGCGGGTTTCCTCGGCTGGCGTAACACTGCGGCACACTATCTGCATCATAGTACGGATTACGCGTGGGTGATGTGGAGTTGTTGTTCAACCACGGGACAAGGGACCAACGGTAGGAATCGTCATAAACAAATATAGAGAATCGACGGCGCAGGTAGGTGATCGGCGGTGATGCTCTTTGGCGATCGTTTCATTAATCTTGGAGCAGTTTTGGACTGGTGGGATACGGTCACTTACTCCCTGACCTTGAGCAACAGCACAGCTAACCAAAGGCTTTTTTTTTTTTTTTTTTTTTTTTTTTTTTTTTTTGATACACCGCCGAGGCCCGGGCCGCGGGTGTCTCTTGCCAAGCGTCGACGCAACTTAAAATTTCCCAGCAATCGCCCTGAGTGTGATGTGCGGAAGCCAACCTCCGTACGCAGTGCAACACCTGTATCATGGTGTTGCGTCCCATGCCTGCTCGCTTTCCGGTTTCTGCTGCTTGGCCCCATGACTTTTGCCCGCAGCCGTAGGCGAGGACTGCAAGGCCCGCCGTCCAGTGTGCCATATCGCTTGCCGTTTGCGACTCGTCCGCATATAAGCGATGTGAAGAATACGACGTTGTTGCAGAGACGGTCTTGACAGCGGGGCTCAATGGGTTGCCACAGTCCGTGGGAGTGTGACAGCGACACAACACCGCTCGTGAACTGGGTCGTAGCCGGCCGATCACCACGCGGACTAGTCCGAGCACACTCATCGTCTGGCCTGGGGAAGTTCCATTGTCTGGTTGTGTCCGTACATGGCCTTTGACATTTCGGTTGTGACCAATGATGTTCGTAATGAGTATCGTCTGAGTCGGATATCTCCCAAACAAACAAATGTGTACCGATCTTGCCCGTCACGTGTGATACAAATCGAGCGGTATGAAATATCATTGCCAAGCCACGACCCCCCGGCCATCAGAACCCACATAATGTTAGATATTGTTCTGCCACCGCTCGAAAGGTAGCAGAGTCTCCTGAGTAGGTAATTGCCAACTGGAGCTCGGAGCTCTGCTCCAGCCAGTGCCGAAGCATTGTTCCGACAGGGGAGCTTCCTTGGGGCACTAGGACCAGGTGTCTTTGTTGCTGTGTGGGAAAGGGGAGGAGGGACGGGGAGCGGAGAGGCAACCTATTCCAGACGTTCGCGTTGCAGCCCGCAAGGGTGTTGGAGGGTCGCGGAAAGGAGGTTGACGAGTCAATCCAGAGGTCTCCCTTTTGGCCCCGTGAAATGGACTATCGCTCTGAGCCTGGGGCATGCGGAATGCAGCAGCAAATTGCATTGCAAGAGGTCGCGAACCCAGTGGCGTTTCCCTCTTATCCTCGATTAATGGGGCACGATCACTAGGTTGGGACGACGAGCAGTGTGGATTCGAGCCAGATATACCCATCACTGTCAAACGACAATTTCCGATCCAATGGAAACTTGAACATGTTGCGCCATGGCTTTCGTCCGGCAAAACAGGGTTGTCGCAACCGCCAGTTACATATCCAGTCATTGTCTGTTGGTCCCGGAGCGGGAGCGGTAGAGAGCGTGTCGTAAGTGCAAACTTTTCAAAGGCTACAGGAGAGATTTGAATGGCGACGTACTGCAAGATCTAGTTGGCTCGAATCAACTGAGACACGTTCAACCGTGCCTACACTTAGATCCCACAGACCAACAACACGTGGCCTCGAGGATGGAATGTGTCTGCACTGTCTCGAGTCAAGCCTGACTTCACTTGACTCTTGGACCTCTGGGCACTCACGCCATCACACTCCCAGTGCAACAGGACGTGATGGACGGGCCACTGAGCGGAGACAGGAGCGTGGAGGCGGTGATGATCTTTAGGACAAGGTTGTTGGTCCTGGAGCCGGACCAGGGGAAGGGGGGCCCTTGCCTCGGGTGCGAAGCCCGGTCAACGATTGCTTCCAGGCTTCCCTGGCGATAGCGCACTTTGTAAACAAGCGACCCAGGGTTTCCACAGTGGATGGGCGGGAGGCCGTAATCGATGGCGACAGTCCTGCTTGAGCGGGGTGATGGAAAGAGGATACCCATGCCGTCCAATGACCGATAGCGAGATTCGCAAAAAAATTTGACGGAGGCGATGACCGATGAGAGAACCGAAACGACACGCTTCTGACCCTGAGCCGCGGACGAGTTCTGTCCGGAATGCGCTTTGTCCCCGCCGGGTGGATCACGCTGTCTGCAGGCAGCTTATTTAGAGCGAGGTGATTGTAGAATGGGTTAGGTCTTACTCCTCATCCTTTCATCGTGAAGAAGAGGAGAAGCCTGCGTACGCTTTGACCTTTGTGGCCGGGTCAATCGACATATCGAGTATGGCGTATCCCTTCGCCTCTCCGCTGCCGTGCGCCCGATGATGAGGAGGGGGGAGGAAGCCAGAGCGGATAACGGTTATTAGGATTGGCGGTGGTTGACAGGCCGGGAGGATCCCAGGCACACCCGCGATCCAGAAGCCGCGCCGCTGTTTCCTGTGGACGGGGGGGGGGGGGACAAGAAAAGGTTTGCTAGGTCCATAGCACTACTGGGCCGAGAAAGCTTGGCAGCTGGGCTTCGGCGAACGTTCCGAGCGGGAGTTGCAAAAAGAGTAAGGTGAAACCGTCTTACCAGACATGGCGAAGATAGCTCGTAGGACTCCCACTCGGGTGACAAAAGACGGCCGGTTGCACTCACCACTACCATATGGCAAGCGGCCATCGTTTTTTGTCGCCCGAGTACCTCCCCTCTCATCAAAGGACCGACGATGGGATGAAGGAACATAACCACCCGCGCCTTGTTGTACGTGCATTGTCGCTTAAAACAGATGGACAGCTTGGTCGCTGTGGACGAACGTTGGTGGCGCTTTGTTGACGGGCGCGTGGCACTGGTTTGGCCTGCTAGTAGGGAGGTGACAGAAGTTTAAATGGCCCAGGACCGAAGCCAATGGACGGAATCTAGAATGGTTCGAGACCGGCCGTCGCAGTGCACTGCCAAACGGCCAGCTGCGATGAGAAGTCAAAGTCACTGACTGGTGCTGAGATAGCCGTGGAACGGATTGCCAAAGGCCCAGGTCATGTCAAAGCTCAAGACCCCAACGTCAAGCTCTTGTTAGTGCTATCGGGACCGAGGGCTTAGACTTTGCTCGCGTTTCCCGGGTCTCCGAACAGACAGGTTTCACTAGCGAAGCTACGGACGCCGTCCCGTTTGTTGAAGCCAACATTGACGGCATGTCGTTGAACCCTGAAAAATCCCGGGCTGCCACCGGCGGCGTTGCAGTGGGAGGCAGATAGCTGCCTCCGTATCGCCGTTTCTTTGCGTCGTGAGTGGCTGTTGTCCTGATATATGTTGCAGCTGTTTCGTCATCCAATGTTTGCCCCTCCTTTTCCTGGGGGTTATCCTTCATGCAGCTCCATGCGACTTCATGCAAAGGGTTGGCGTGGCAAACTTGGACTATACCGGTATCTGATATCCGACCAATACCGCAAATTCTCCGGTTCGCACGCCTAGGCTTTTCCCTACTGGCGCGGAGCGTTTTAGTGTCGAGTGCCGGCGTCTTGGACTGCAGATCGTGAGCGCCGAATACCGCGTGGGTGGCTGTACGCCTATCTCATACAGGCCCCTCTGCTCGAGAGCTGTGGAGGTTCATACTGCATCGTCGCCTTCTTTCTGTTGGATTTCGCCAGGCAAGCCGTGAGGTTAGTTTAGATGAAGCTCCAAAAAGCAGAATTTGAGACGGTGGTGTCTCTCGGCTCGCGACTCGACCAGAGAAGACGACAACAAGTGGCGTCGCTTATCAAGGCTGTGGTCACATCGCATCGGCTGGCCTTGGAGGAGCGTGCAACCCAAAGAAGGGGCGATGCGGTGGCTGATGGATGTCGTACCGTAGTTGAGCGAGGCAGGGGGCCGTGGTTGGATAGGATAGGCCGTGTGCCGCGAAGGTTTGCGATAGGCCCATCAACATCTCATCATCTCACTGCCCCTGTCACACACATACTACGTGTGATGGGTATATTTAACCGGATAGTCAGGTATTGCCCCACAACAGGGGCTCAGACAGATGGCTGGCAAGGGGGTGAAAATGGCTGACATAAGCGCAACGCATCCAAATTGATTAATTTCTATAGGCAAAGTCAACACTTGATATGTAACCCATTGGCCTCAATCACTGCCTTACATCAATCCAGCATAGTTGCAAGAAGGTTAGATAGGAAGTCCTCTAGAAGAGCCTCCCAGGCCTCTTTTACCCACGTACAGAGGGTATTATACGATAAGTAATATTAGCTATCTCTGGCTGCGATAGCTTCGCGTCGGTATAAAGGGTGCGTATCCGTTGCCGATCAGCCTCTGTAAGGTGCTTGGTGTTGCTGCCGGCCGCCCGGACCATATTGGCGATATGGGTGGGTTGGTCGGTTGGTTGGGTTGTTGCAAGAGGGAAAAAAAAGGAGGAAAAAGTGCTGCTGGCAATAGGTGGATTAGTAGTAGTTGGATGGATATGGGACCTCTGATTGGCTGGTTAAGTGGGTATGGGCTGCCCCATAGGTACTTGCCTAGGGGGTTAAACTTTGGCCTGACACCGTAGTACACACACGCGCGCGTGCAGTGTCCGAGTGTTGCGGGGGAAGGTAAGGAAGAAACAGGTTGCCGTTGTACACGGCTCGGGCGATCGTTTGCCGCCTGAAGGTGAGACGGAGTGAAGCTGTCCTCAGCGTTGCAGAACGAGACGGAAGGGTCGTCTGGAGTTGGGTTCGTGTCGCTGCCCATGCTGGATGTAAGGCAGGTAGTGCAAGCCTCAAACTGGATGTAGGCGGATGTGCCAGTTAAGAAAGCGGGCTCTAGTATAAACAAATGGTGTCCAAGTGCCGTCTTGGTTGTGGCGATCATCGGTTGAGTGCCCACATGGCGTATGCAGAGAGTCACAGTTCAGAGTCAGGCCGTTTCAACGCGCGCGCTGGAATGGTTGGTAGGCGTATTGAAGTCGTTGTCGTGAGAAGCAGGCCAAGTCGGGCGGCCGTGAGCCGTTGGCTAGCGCGTTTCTTGATTCTCGTGTTGGTAGCGACGGTGCCATCGGATGGTCATAGCAAGGAGGGGGCAAGGCAAGAAGACGATGAGAGGTGACAAAAAGACGCATGGGTGTGTTGGTTAGATGCATCATCGAGTTATAGTGTGTAGTGGTCAAAGACAAGAAAGAGGCCCGAGTGGCTTGGAGATTTACAACAAGGCGGAGGAGAGGAGGAGAGGCATCAAGCCGGTGGAGAGAAGCAAACACCACCAGGCAAACAAATCACATAGTGTATTTCCAAGACCGGCCATCCGAGGCTGGCAGTTGCAAGGGAACTGATCCCGCGCTCACGGTCCCGAGCACTGGCTCAAGTAGCACATCGAGGGAGACAACAGACCAAGACAAGTTAGCTCGTCGAGGAGAGACGGTTCTGCGGGGGTTGTCAAGGTATCTAGCCATGCCTTGACCGGGCAAGCTTTTCAACCACCCGCACGTGGTTTGCATACTCTCTCTACATACCTAGCCAGTCCAGTATAGGTACTCTGTAGTAAACTACAGTACATAGCTCGGTACCTACCTACCTACCTACCTAGGTAGGTATGTATGTAGCGAGCGTACAAGACTTGGTGCAATGTATGTTACTATGTAGTGTATATCGTTGTGGAGAGAAGCGGAATGGATGCAGCCGTCTCCCTGTTCAAGACGCAGCTGCAAAACGCGCTGGTGTACGGATACTTGTATAATTACATAGAATACCAAATCACACTAGTACACTAGCAAAGAACCCTTCGCCTACCAAGTGCCATCCAACGGTCCCAGAGAAAGGTTATCAGGATGGCGATATCGACCAGCATGGTGGCCATCGGTTACTCGGGGGCTGGGGGGTCCCATGTCCATCCACTGTGTCGCAGCGCGCACACTACCTAAGGTAAGGTACCCTACCCATCTGTAACGTACCGTATACACTCGCTAGGTTCACAAACCGCACGGATCACCCACTAAGCCTATTTTGCAAGGCGGTCAACCAGCTTAGCCACCCACCCACCCATCCAACCCTAACCCTTGCCACCTAACTTGCTGCTAACGTTGACTAACCCCTGCATTTGCCACTTCTAGATCCCTGTTTCTGCCAGTCCGCTAGCCCCTATCCAGCAGCCCGTGATCAGTGCGGTTTGTGAATCTAGCGAGTGGATACGGTACACTGCAATTTGCCATAGAGTGTAGTACCTGTAGACTACCATACTGTGTAATCTGTACGGATACAGGTAGTTACTATAACGTACGCACCTACCTAGATGAGTGTTAGTGTACAATAGACTTGCCCACGCAGCGCAGACTCCCCCCCCCCCCCCTCTCTCTCTCTCTCTCTTCCTCTCTCAGATTCCTCCTGATAAACATGCTGAACCACGAACGACAAGGCATCCTTTGGAGTGGGCCACAAGATGGGAAGAGGGGCGGGGTGTGGCAGATACCTCACGCTAGACAGGCCAGAAGGAAGCCCCCTGTGTCGGTACGTACCCCTGTTCTTTCCTCGAGTGGGACACCAGCAGCGGCAGGTGGGGGTGCTCTCTCTTCTGCTGCAGCCACGACTGCCACTGCTGTTGCCAATTCCCCTGCTTCCATGACACCCGAGGTCGAGGTGGCTTTGGTTCTGCTTCAATGCCCAAGCCCGTTTCAACTTGTCCCCCCCCCTTCCCCATGCGGGTGCAGGTTCAGATGCACAGCGACGCAGCTCACCTGAATATTCGAATGCATGCATGCACCATGTTCGTAACTGCCTTGTTCCCACAGCCAATGCCTCTGCATACAGTACCTACCTACCTGCCTCTCTCTGCCTCTGCCTCTGCCTCTGCCTATGCACACCTGCCTAGGCCTCTGCACCTCAGAAATTGTGAAAGAAGGATGGTCAAACACGCATCACACACTCGCTCTACTCTTCCTACCCGATGTATATACAAAACCAGGTATGTAGATTTCCTACTATGGCCTTGGATGACGTCTCTCTATTTCTCTCTCTCTCTCTCTCTCTCTCTCTCTCTGCATCTTCCCCTACCATCTACCTAGCGCGCGCTCACAACGTCTACGGTGCCCCTTCTCCGCCTCCTCCTGCACTAATCGTACAGGGCTATTGTCCGCTTTCTGGCGCTCCACCCCTGCTACACAATTAGCTACTGCCCTATTCCTAATTTTGCTCCTTCCTCCGGCAGTCGGGCACTACGTCCCTCGTCTGTTTCGCCCAGTTCTTCTTGTAGGGAAGGGGTGTTCTGACCGGCTATCGAAATGTAATTTCGGCCCTGTCCCGTCTTGAAGATGCATCACGAAGGCGCGTTGGGAGCAGCCAGACCACGAAGCTTGCGGCGTGCATCACATCGCATCGCATCGCATCACATCGCACCTCGGATTCCCCTGTCTCTTTCCGCACCCGTTGTCTCCGTCCCGTAGAGCGCTGTGAAGTGCATCTAGGTAGTCCTAGGTGCAGGTGCAGGCAGGCGCAGGCGTAGGCGCCGACGCGAGACAACTCCAAGCTTTCTACACACATCTGCCTCCATCTGTGCTGTAGCCGTGGCATGTAAATGGACACACTCGTACTCAACACACACGTACTCGACATACTCGTATTGCCTACGTGTGTGTGTACGTGTGTGTATATATCCGCAGTCCATCTGCGAGTGCTGTCTTCGCTCTCTTAACTTTCCTCCTTCCCTGACCCGAAACTGTATAATCCACAACCTTGTGCGCAATCAGCAGCTGCCCTGCCCCAATGCGAAGCTGTAATACAAAATCATCGTATACCACAAGCTCTGGCTCCTCAATCCAGCTCCTTGTCACTTTTTCTGATCCCAAGCCCCCCCCCCCCCCCGTTCGCCCCGAATCGTGCCGTGTCCCCCTCCCCCCCCCTCACCAAGCAACTCTTGTACGTACTCCCCCTTCTCCCAGCCTGTTCACCTGAGCCCCCTTCCCATGCACACCATGCCCCCCATGCTCATCCAGGACCCATAGCCTCCCGGTCCAGAGTGACAGAGTGAGAGTCAAGGCTCCCTGTCAGAAAACAGACCAGCCTGCATATCGGAACAGCCAAGGGGTGCCACCCCCCCTGTCAAATGCAAGTTCGAGCCTTTTCCTCTTCTCCAGTCTTGTTCCTCCCTACTGCCCAAGACATATATAGCCTCACTGCTCGACTTCTTCACCCGAGTTGCCAATGTGTTACCATAGCGTGGGACCTATACCTACCCTGACCTTGGCTATAGCTGTACCAGATCTTCTCCCGGACTGTACCAGCTGCCATCCATATATCCCTCCCTCACTCCGGAACCCTGCAACCGCAACCTTACTCTCCTTCAATGGCACACATCGCATCCTGTATGCTCAGTGTAAAAGGAGAGTCCACCGCTCTGCCGTATATAGCAAAGCCGCCCTCCCCACTGCCTCCCATGGAACCGGTATGGACATCGCTCTTTTCCCTCCAACCACTCGACCTACACGTTCTTTCCCTTGCCTTCATCCTTCTGAAGCAACAACTGACCAAGTCTGTTTCCCCCCCCAATTATAGACGCAATTACCACCGCTGCCTCCAGCAGACTACAAGCCCTTTGTGTGGAGAATGCACCAAACAGAGGGCCGCAAGTACCAGCTCTTTCCCAAGGATCGTCCGCAACGCCCAGCTGCAAAGGTCCTCGACCCTGAGCAGGCCTTCGCTCTCGCCATGGGACAGAACGAAAAGACGGAGAAGCCATGCGGCACCAGCGGCTCGCTCCGCTTGCGCATCAAGGAGCACAACCTCATTAGACGGCGCAAAGTGAGCATTCCCGAGCTGGGCCCAATGACAACTGTCCAGGAAGTTCCCATGGATTCACGTAAGTCGACCGTCCGGTACTCTTCGCTTCCAAAGGTCAGGATGACTGACACGCCCTAGCCACTATCCCGGGACGGCCTCCTCTACATGAGAGATCTGCCAGCGCACCCGGTCACCACCTTAAGCAGCACAAGTCCAACAGCTCCTTCACGTCCACTGCCACCGCCGACGCCAACATACCTGCCTACGTGACTCCCGCCTGCTCTCCGGAACGACACCAACGGTCTACCTCGGAGTCTCAGACACCCCGCCCGCTGGCCTCGCCGAAGCAGCTGGCCCCTCTCGTCATCCCTACTCACATCGGTAACGTACCTAGTCTCACGAAGCAAATGTCAAACGGCCGCATGAGATCTGGTAGCTCGGGCTACGACACCGCCCAGCTTTCTGCCCGAACCGACGACTCTCCCAGATCACAATCTCGAACCCCCTACACACCCTTGACAGCTTCTACCGCCCTGACGACACCTCTCTCCGCTTGTCACAGCATCCAGTCTGCCACCACCCCCGCATCTGCCCCCATCATGGAAGGAAGGGACTCCCCCATGCCGTGGGAGAACAACAGCACACCGACCGCTACGGTTTCCGCCTCGTGCAACAACGATGCCTCTTCAGGGCCCGAGACAGCTCATGCGTTCCGACCCTTCCTTAATGCCCACAAGAGAGGACAGTCCGAGTCTGGCAGTATCATGGATCGGGGGCGCCCGAGGAAGCGGAGCGACGCGCGAAACAACAACAGCCCGCTCAAGAGAAGTTGCTCGACCCGGAACAAGAGCGCTGAACGCCGGGCCTTTGAGGAGCTCCCGACCGGATGGCGAGCTGACGAAGCAGCCAGCCACATGGAGCAGGACGAACTGGCAGCGCTGCAAACGCAGGCTTTTGGCCAGGCGTCCAGGTTCGAGGTGCTCAGGAAGGAGGACGTCGAAGCCCTTTCAAAGGTAAAGCCACACATCCTTACCTCGCGCACCATGATGGAGGAGCAGGACTAACGATAATCGCAGGAACTTCGTCAGCTCGACGAACGGACCGAGTACCTTCGTCGCACATACAACTCTCTGCGGGCTGGTCGACGCAACCTGCACTCGCGCATGTGCCAATACCTCCGCTCTCCCCGGACGGCGAGGTTCAGCACGGACTCGATGCTCAAGCAAGAAGAAGCTCTT